CTACTACAGGATTTACACACGCCTTTGTGCTACCACAGTGTCCATTTCACTTGTACAGGATTTACACACGCCTTCTTGCTACCATCGTCTCCATTTCACCAGTGCAGGATTCACACACGCCTCTGTGCTTCCACCGTGTCCATTTCACTAGCGTAGGATTTCCACACACCTTTGTGCTACTACCGTTTCCATTTCACTTATGTTGGATTTACACACGCCTTTGTGCTACCACCGTCTCCATTTCACTTGTGCAGGATTCACACACGCCTTAGTGCTGCCACAGTTTCCATTTGACAAATAGAAGGATTTTCCCACGTCCTTCTCCTACCACAGTGTCATTTCACTAGTACAGAATTTACACACACCTTTGTGCTACCACAGTGTCCATTTCACTAGTACAGGATTTACACAGGCCTTTGTGTTTCCACCGTGTCCAATTCATTAGTTTAGGATTTACACACACCTTTGTGCTACCACCGTATCCACTTCACTTGTACAGGATTTACACACGCCTTCTTGCTGCCATCGTCTCCATTTCACCAGTGCAGGATTCACAGACGCCTTCTTCCTGCCATCGTCTCCATTTCACTAGTACAGGATTTACACACACCTTTGTGCTACCACCGTGTCCATTTCACTAGTACAGGATTTACACACACCTTTGTGCTACCATCGTCTCCATTTCACTAGTACAGGATTTAAACACGCCTTTGTGTTTCCACCGTGTCCAATTCATTAGTTTAGGATTTACACACGCCTTTGTGTTTCCACCGTGTCCACTTCATTAGTTTAGGATTTATACACGCCTTTGTGCTACCACAGTGTCCATTTCACTACTACAGGATTTACACACGCCTTTGTGCTACCACCGTGTCCATTTCACTAGTACAGGATTTACACACGCCTTTGTGCTACCACCGTGTCCATTTCACTTGTACAGGATTTACACACGCCTTTGTGCTACCATCGTGTCCATTTCACTAGTGTGGGGTTTACACATACCTTTGTCGTACCACCGTGTCCATTTCACTGGTACAGGATTTACACACACCTTTGTGCTACCATCGTCTCAATTTCACAAGTACAGGATTTAAACACGCCTTTGTGCTACCATCGTGTCCATTTCACTAAAACAGGATTTACACACGCCTTTGTGCTACCACAGTGTCCATTTCACTACTACAGGATTAACACACGCCTTTGTGCTACCATCGTCTCCATTTCACAAGTACAGGATTTAAACACGCCTTTGTGTTACCATCGTGTCCATTTCACTAGTGTGGGGTTTACACACACCTTTGTGCTACCACCATGTCCATTTCACTTGTACAGGATTTACACACATGCCTTCATGCTACCACCGTCTCCATTTCACTAGTACAGGATTTACACACACCTTTGTGCTACCACCGTGTCCATTTCACTAGTGTAGGATTTACACACACCTATGTGCTACTACCGTTTCCACTTCACTTCTGTTGGATTTACACACGACTTTCTGCCACCACAGTGTCCATTTCACTACTACAGGAATTACACACACCTTTGTGCTACCACAGTGTCAATTTCACTAGTACAGGATTTACACACGCCTTTTTGTTTCCACCGTGTCCAATTCATTAGTTTAGGATTTACACACGCCTTTGTGCTACCACCGTATCCACTTCACTTGTACAGGATTTACACACGCCTTCTTCCTGCCATCGTCTCCATTTCACTAGTACAGGATTTACACACACCTTTGTGCTACCATCGTCTCCATTTCACAAGTACAGGATTTAAACACGCCTTTGTGTTACCATCGTGTACGTTTCACTAGCGTAGGATTTCCACACACCTTTGGGCTACTACCGTTTCCATTTCACTTCTGTTGGATTTACACACGCTTTTCTGCTACCACCGTGTCCATTTCACTGGTACAGGATTTACACACACCTTTTGTGCTACCATCGTCTCAATTTCGCAAGTACAGGATTTAAACACGCCTTTGTGCTACCATCGTGTCCATTTCACTAGTGTGGGGTTTACACATACCTTTGTGCTACCACCGTGTCCATTTCACTTGTACAGGATTTACACACATGCTTTCGTGCTACCACCGTGTCCATTTCACTAGTACAGGATTTACACACGCCTTTTTGCTACCACCGTGTCCATTTCACAAGTAGAGGATTTACACACATGCCTTCGTGCTACCACCGTGTCTATTTCGCAAGTACAGGATTTACACACACCTTTGTGCTACCACAGTGTCCATTTCACAAGTACAGGATTTACACACAGCTTCTTGCTGCCATCGTCTCCGATTCATTAGTTTAGGATTTACACACGCCTTTGTGCTACCACCGTGTCCATTTCACTTGTACAGGATTTACACACGCCTTTGTGCTACCATCGTGTCCATTTCACTAGTGTGGGGTTTACACACACCTTTGTGCTACCACCGTGTCAATTTCACTTGTACAGGATTTACACACATGCCTTCGTGCCACCACCGTGTCCATTTCACTAGTACAGGATTTACACACGCCTTTTTTTGCTACCACCGTGTCCATTTCACTAAAACAGGATTTACACACACCTTTGTGCTACCACAGTGTCCATTTCACTGGTACAGGATTTACACACACCTTTGTGTCTCCACCGTGTCCAATTCATTAGTTTAGGATTTACACACGCCTTTGTGTTTCCACCGTGTCCACTTCATTAGTTTAGGATTTACACACGCCTTTGTGCTACCACAGTGTCCATTTGACTACTACAGGATTTACACACGCCTTTGTGCTACCACAGTGTCCATTTCACTGGTACGGGATTTACACACACCTTTGTGCTACCATCGTCTCAATTTCACAAGTACAGGATTTAAACACGCCTCTGTGCTACCATCGTGTCCATTTCACTAGTGTGGGGTTTACACACACATTTGTGCTACCACCGTGTCCATTTCACTTGTACAGGATTTACACACGCCTTTTTTGCTACCACCGTGTCCATTTCACTAAAACAGGATTTACACACACCTTTGTGCTACCACAGTGTCCATTTCACTTGTACAGGATTTACACACACCTTTGTGTCTCCACCGTGTCCAATTCATTAGTTTAGGATTTACACACGCCTTTGTGTTTCCACCGTGTCCAATTCATTAGTTTAGGATTTACACACGCCTTTGTGCTACCACAGTGTCCATTTCACTACTACAGGATTTACACACGCCTTTGTGCTACCACAGTGTCCATTTCACTTGTACAGGATTTACACACGCCTTCTTGCTACCATCGTCTCCATTTCACCAGTGCAGGATTCACACACGCCTCTGTGCTTCCACCGTGTCCATTTCACTAGCGTAGGATTTCCACACACCTTTGTGCTACTACCGTTTCCATTTCACTTATGTTGGATTTACACACGCCTTTGTGCTACCACCGTCTCCATTTCACTTGTGCAGGATTCACACACGCCTTAGTGCTGCCACAGTTTCCATTTGACAAATAGAAGGATTTTCCCACGTCCTTCTCCTACCACAGTGTCATTTCACTAGTACAGAATTTACACACACCTTTGTGCTACCACAGTGTCCATTTCACTAGTACAGGATTTACACAGGCCTTTGTGTTTCCACCGTGTCCAATTCATTAGTTTAGGATTTACACACACCTTTGTGCTACCACCGTATCCACTTCACTTGTACAGGATTTACACACGCCTTCTTGCTGCCATCGTCTCCATTTCACCAGTGCAGGATTCACAGACGCCTTCTTCCTGCCATCGTCTCCATTTCACTAGTACAGGATTTACACACACCTTTGTGCTACCACCGTGTCCATTTCACTAGTACAGGATTTACACACACCTTTGTGCTACCATCGTCTCCATTTCACTAGTACAGGATTTAAACACGCCTTTGTGTTTCCACCGTGTCCAATTCATTAGTTTAGGATTTACACACGCCTTTGTGTTTCCACCGTGTCCACTTCATTAGTTTAGGATTTATACACGCCTTTGTGCTACCACAGTGTCCATTTCACTACTACAGGATTTACACACGCCTTTGTGCTACCACCGTGTCCATTTCACTAGTACAGGATTTACACACGCCTTTGTGCTACCACCGTGTCCATTTCACTTGTACAGGATTTACACACGCCTTTGTGCTACCATCGTGTCCATTTCACTAGTGTGGGGTTTACACATACCTTTGTCGTACCACCGTGTCCATTTCACTGGTACAGGATTTACACACACCTTTGTGCTACCATCGTCTCAATTTCACAAGTACAGGATTTAAACACGCCTTTGTGCTACCATCGTGTCCATTTCACTAAAACAGGATTTACACACGCCTTTGTGCTACCACAGTGTCCATTTCACTACTACAGGATTAACACACGCCTTTGTGCTACCACCGTGTCCATTTCACTGGTACAGGATTTACACACACCTTTGTGCTACCATCGTGTCCATTTCACTAGTGTGGGGTTTACACACGCCTTTGTGCTACCGCCGTCTCCATTTCACTTGTGTAGGATTCACACACGCCTTAGTGCTGCCACAGTTTCCATTTGACAAATAGAAGGATTTGCCCACGTCTTTCTCCTACCAAAGTGTCCATTTCACAAGTACAGGATTCACACACACCTTTGTGCTACCACAGTGTCAATTTTCACTAGTGCAGGATTTACACACGTCTTTGTGCTACCATCGTGTCCATTTCACTAGTGTGGGGTTTACACACACTTTTGTGCTACCACCGTGTCCATTTCACTTGTACAGGATTTACACACATGCCTTCGTGCTACCACAGTGTCCATTTCACTAGTACAGGATTAACACACGCCTTTTTGCTACCACCGTGTCCATTTTACCAGTACAGGATTTACACACACCTTTGTGCTACCACAGTGTCTATTTCACTAGTACAGGATTTACACACGCCTTTGTGCTACTACCGTGTCCACTTCACTTGTACAGGATTTACACACCCCTTCTTGCTGCCATCGTCTCCATTTCACCAGTGCAGGATTCACACACGCCTTTGTGCTTCCACCGTGTCCATTTCACTAGTACAGGATTTACACACACCTTTGTGCTTCCAACGTGTCCATTTCACTAGCGTAGGATTTCCACACACCTTTGGGATACTACCGTTTCAATTTCACTTCTGTAGGATTTACACACGCCTTTGTGCTACCACCGTCTCCATTTCACAGGTGTAGGATTCACACACTCCTTAGTGCTGCCACAGTTTCCATTTGACCAATAGAAGGATTTTCCCACGTCTTTCTCCTACCACAGTGTCATTTCACTAGTACAGGATTTACACACACCTTTGTGCTACCACAGTGTCCATTTCAGTAGTACAGGATTTACACACGCCTTTGTGCTACCACAGTGTCCATTTCACCAGTGCAGGATTTGCACACGCCTTCGTGCTACCACAGTGTCCATTTCACTTGTACAGGATTTACACACATGCCTTCGTGCTGCCACCGTGTCCATTTCACTTGTGTAGGATTTACACACACCTTTGGGCTACCACCGTTTCCATTTAACTTTTGTTGGATTTACACACGCCTTTCTGATACCACCGTGTCCATTTCACCAGTACAGGATTTACACACACCTTTGTGCTACCACCGTGTCCCTTTCACTAGTGCAGGATTTACACACACCTTTGTTCTACCAGTGTCCATTTCACTAGTACAGGATTTACACACGCCTTTTTGCTACCGCCTTGTCCATTTCACTTGTGGAGGAATGGCAAGCAGAGTGAATCTCATACAGGTCATCTATCACAACCAGATAAAATAGATCCAGGAAATGTTTGACAGAAGGTCGTCAGTTCCATGTCAATTAGGAAAAGTGACATCTATGTTTAGCCAAACATGTATGAAGATATACTTATTGCCAAGCAGACAGGCATGGTGGAGGTGACAGACCACACCAGCTTGAACATCTTCACGGGCCCAGGATAGGAAGGAAGGAGTGAGCGAATTGGGGTTAACGCTGCTTTGAACTGTATTTCAGTTATATCACGGCGTGTCAGCTTAATGTTGGAGGTAAGCTCGAAGTGGTGCATGTCTCAGACGGGTTTTTTCCCACTTTGGAGAACCCAATAGCATGAGTATGGTGCTGACAAACCTTGTACATAATTGGGGCCAATCGGAAGTTTACTTAAAGAAATAAGAAATGATATCAACTGGACTTCTCCAAAAGTATCTATGCTGCAGGGCACGTTTGGCTGTAATGCGCCCCACGGGGTTTGTGTCCAGACACCTTTTTATCAGGGACAGAAGTTGAGTGTCGATTCGCCCGAGAACATCAAAGTCCGGCCCCTTGTCAAAGACATCAGCTTTGATATTTCTATTTGACCCTACAGGGAAAGGAAACTCTCCTGCAATGGCCACATACAGGGTGACGCCCATGCTCCACATGTCGAAGGATCTAATCCACTTATCAGAGGTGACATGGGCGTCTTTTCTGTGGACTTCAGGTGGGGAGAAGGCAGGGGTAGAGAATGTCATTTCTCTATCCTTAGGTGTTTGCTCTGGCGCCAGGCGTATCGCCCCACCGAAGTCAATTATCTTTATATTTCTCCTGGGCCCAATCAGTATGTTTTCTGGCTTGATGTCCCTATGCACGATGTTGTTCTTGTGCAAGTAATTTATACCTGCCAGTATCTTCTTGGCAATCGGTTTCAGGTGCTTTTGTTTCCATTTAACACTGTAATTGGTGATAAAATGTACTATGTCATTTCCTTCAAAGTACTCCAGGATCATAAACATCTTCCCATTGTGCTGGAACAGGTCATATGCTTTGATGATGTTTTCATGATTAATGGATTTCAGAATTTTATATTCATTTTCCCAGGTGCGAACTGTGAAGTTTCCATCAATTGCTGCCCGTAGAGAGACCTTCGCGGCGTAGAGTAGCCCGTTCTTCTTCACCCTGTACACCATCGCAGCCCCACCCGAGTCGATGACATCCTCGAAGTAGTAGCCTTTGATGGTTTGACCAGTGAGTGTTGATGGCTCTGTGGGTGCAAATGGATTGGGAACAGCAAAGGTGGGCCTTCTGGGATTGGTGGAACCAGCAGGGGCGTCGACAGGCGATCCCCTTGTGTTAGACGTCTTGGCCTTGTCAGATGGCTGGAGACGTTCTCGCCAAAGTTCAGCAGCAGCATTGTGTGGCCCGGGAATGGGAGCATAGAAATGTGCTCGGTAACCTAGATAGGATAAGAATAAATATATCAGCTGGATATTGTACCACGTGGAGTGAGTAAGTATAGTTTTACGCCGCTTACAGAAATATTTCAGCAGTATCAGGGCTGGGGACACCAGGGATGCGCTTCACACATTGTACCCATGTAGGAGCCTCATGTTATACCACGTGGATGAGAGAGAGAGAGAGAAACAGGGAGAGAGAGGAGAGAGAGAGAGAGAGAGAGAGGAGGATGCCATACAATGTGGATGGGGGGGGGGGGGGGGGGACAAGAGTTGATGCCATACCACTTGGGTGGTGACCGCCTCCGTGGTCCAGTGGTGGAGCGTCTTCCCGGAGCGCGGAAGGTCGTTGGTTCCATCCCCGGCCGCGTCATACCAAAAGACGTTAAAAGATGTACTTGTTGTTACAGTCAACCATGCTTGGCGCTCGGTATAAATAGTCTAAAACAAGGACTGGTCGTCTCGGAGTCAGTATACTGTGTCTTATTCTTGTTAAACTGCGGCATGGTATCTCAGTACTATAAAATCGGCATAAGTCCGGACTACTACAAGCAGCCCACGCATACGCACGCACGCACGCACGCACACGCATGCACACGCACACACACACGTGTATGTCGCTATATAAGTGCAATAATCTTGAACGCGACCCACGTTGAACCCCATTTCACTACATCTCACGTGGGTGGTAGTAGGTGAGACAGGTAAATGTCATACCATGTGGATTGTGGAGGGAAAGGCGAATATTGATGTCATTGAATGCTTTTGTCTATACGGGGTTTTTTATATTAAAAGAACATCAAACGCCCAAATTAAGATCTTTAGTGATGTCAGAGAAGCAGATGTTTTCAAAATAATATCACTTGTTTTATTATAAGAGAGTACGTTATCGATCGCCAGCATAATGCTGCTCGCTGGCTTCGTCTATGAGTGGCCAGGATTTGCACTTTCCTCTCACATCAAGCTGACGCACCGTAATATAACTGAAATACTGTTCAAATCGGGGTGAATCCAGCTCACTCACTCCATTAGTGTTCTCCACAGAGTATCAGCTCTACTCGATTGTATGGCCAAAATGGTGGCCTAAATAGGAGATAACCTACTCTGGGTTTTTTTTTAATTTGAGGTCCTCTCACTGTAAATTTGATACTTATTACTTTTAATTTGAAACCGAGCGCTATAGCCTTTTCTGATTTGGCAATTCGCGTTCCGTAATCGTGTTTAAAATTGTTGAATGTATATCACTAAATGAGTTAGTCCTAGAGTTGTTACACCTTTACTTTAGTATGCCAGATCACCTATAAAATCACTCAATATGCTTGAAACATGCACACACATCCATCCCACCATCCCCCTCTGGATCCGCTTGTGGACAAGACATGGGTAACTGCATTGGGGATTGACATAGTCTGATAATTTAATGAATATAATATTCTGAATACCGTACAAAACTATAGCTTTACAAACATTGTGGACTATTGTCACCTCGACTTCGACATTGGCCCTTGCACAAAGCAGCATCCGCTTACGCCGCCTTAAACATTGTGGTAGAGCAGTATGCCGAGAATCGAACCCGGATCTTTGCCATGACGAACATATACATTAACAACAAGGCTACCACACCATCCCCGGCTGCTAAGAACAGAACGGAGCGCAAAAAAAGGAAAACGTAAGCAAGCAACTACATTTCACATCCAGTTCTTTCGACATGTAATTCTTACCGAAGGCCAAGTTCACAGAAGGGTTGGAGAAGGTTTTCATATGAAATAAGCTCGCCATATCTACAGAAACAACTCGTCAGGTAATAAAGACGCCCACTTCTGTCGATGAAAATGACGATCTGTGACGTCACATGTCTATGACGTCAACAATAAAGTACCTTTGTTTTTAGTTCGCGAAATGTGTATTGCGTTGGGTTTTTTAACTTTAAACTGCAATAATCTTGAACGCGACCCACGTTGAACCCCATTTCACTACACCTCACGTCGGTGGTAGAAGGTGAGACAGGTAAATGTCATACCATGTGGATTGTGGAGGGAAAGGCTAATATTGATGTCATTGAATGCTTTTGTCTATAAGGGGTTTTTTTATATTAAAAGAACATCAAACGCCCAAATTAAGATCTTTAGTGATGTCAGAGAAGCAGATGTTTTCAAAATAATATCACTTGTTTTATTATAAGAGAGTTCGTTATCGATCGCCAGCATAATGCTGCTCGCTGGCTTCGTCTACGAATGGCCAGGATTTGCACTTTCCTCTCACATCAAGCTGACGCACCGTTATATAACTGAAATACTGTTAAAATCGGGGTGTATCCAGCTCACTTACTCCATTAGTGTTCTCCACAGAGTATCAGCTCTACTCGATTGTATGGCCAAAATGGTGGCCTAAATAGGAGATAACCTACTCTGGGGTTTTTTTTAATTTGAGGTCCTCTCACTGTAAATTTGATACTTATTACTTTTAATTTGAAACCGAGCGCTATAGCCTTTTCTGATTTGGCAATTCGCGTTCCGTAATCGTGTTTAAAATTGTTGAATGTATATCACTAAATGAGTTAGTCCTAGAGTTGTTACACCTTTACTTTAGTATGCCAGATCACCTATAAAATCACTCAATATGCTTGAAACATGCACACACATCCATCCCACCATCCCCCTCTGGATCCGCTTGTGGACAAGACATGGGTAACTGCATTGGGGATTGACATAGTCTGATAATTTAATGAATATAATATTCTGATCTCATGAATACCGTACAAAACTATAGCTTTACAAACATTGTGGACTATTGTCACCTCGACTTCGACATTGGCCCTTGCACAAAGCAGCATCCGCTTACGCCGCCTTAAACATTGTGGTAGAGCAGTATGCCGAGAATCGAACCCGGATCTTTGCCATGACGAACATATACATTAACAACAAGGCTACCACACCATCCCCGGCTGCTAAGAACAGAACGGGGCGCAAAAAAAGGAAAACGTAAGCAAGTAACTACATTTCACATCCAGTTCTTTCGACACGTAATTCTTACCGAAGGCCAAGTTCACAGAAGGGTTGGAGAAGGTTTTCATATGAAATAAGCTCGCCATATCTACAGAAACAACTCGTCAGGTAATAAAGACGCCCACTTCTGTCGATGAAAATGACGATCTGTGACGTCACATATTTATGACGTCAACAATAAAGTACCTTTGTTTTTAGTTCGCGAAATGTGTATTGCGTTGGGGTTTTTTTTACTTTAAACTGCAATAATCTTGAACGCGACCCACGTTGAACCCCATTTCACTACACCTCACGTCGGTGGTAGAAGGTGAGACAGGTAAATGTCATACCATGTGGATTGTGGAGGGAAAGGCTAATATTGATGTCATTGAGTGCTTTTGTCTATAAGGGGTTTTTTATATTAAAAGAACATCAAACGCCCAAATTAAGATCTTTAGTGATGTCAGAGAAGCAGATGTTTTCAAAATAATATCACTTGTTTTATTATAAGAGAGTACGTTATCGATCGCCAGCATAATGCTGCTCGCTGGCTTCGTCTACGAATGGCCAGGATTTGCACTTTCCTCTCACATCAAGCTGACGCACTGTAATATAACTGAAATACTGTTCAAATCGGGGTGAATCCAGCTCACTCACTCCATTAGTGTTCTCCACAGAGTATCAGCTCTACTCGATTGTATGGCCAAAATGGTGGCCTAAATAGGAGATAACCTACTCTGGGTTTTTGTTTAATTTGAGGTCCTCTCACTGTAAATTTGATACTTATTACTTTTAATTTGAAACCGAGCGCTATAGCCTTTTCTGATTTGGCAATTCGCGTTCCGTAATCGTGTTTAAAATTGTTGAATGTATATCACTAAATGAGTTAGTCCTAGAGTTGTTACACCTTTACTTTAGTATGCCAGATCACCTATAAAATCACTCAATATGCTTGAAACATGCACACACATCCATCCCACCATCCCCCTCTGGATCCGCTTGTGGACAAGACATGGGTAACTGCATTGGGGATTGACATAGTCTGATAATTTAATGAATATAATATTCTGAATACCGTACAAAACTATAGCTTTACAAACATTGTGGACTATTGTCACCTCGACTTCGACATTGGCCCTTGCATAAAGCAGCATCCGCTTACGCCGCCTTAAACATTGTGGTAGAGCAGTATGCCGAGAATCGAACCCGGATCTTTGCCATGACGAACATATACATTAACAACAAGGCTACCACACCATCCCCGGCTGCTAAGAACAGAACGGAGCGCAAAAAAAGGAAAACGTAAGCAAGCAACTACATTTCACATCCAGTTCTTTCGACATGTAATTCTTACCGAAGGCCAAGTTCACAGAAGGGTTGGAGAAGGTTTTCATATGAAATAAGCTCGCCATATCTACAGAAACAACTCGTCAGGTAATAAAGACGCCCACTTCTGTCGATGAAAATGACGATCTGTGACGTCACATGTCTATGACGTCAACAATAAAGTACCTTTGTTTTTAGTTCGCGAAATGTGTATTGCGTTGGGTTTTTTAACTTTAAACTGCAATAATCTTGAACGCGACCCACGTTGAACCCCATTTCACTACACCTCACGTCGGTGGTAGAAGGTGAGACAGGTAAATGTCATACCATGTGGATTGTGGAGGGAAAGGCTAATATTGATGTCATTGAATGCTTTTGTCTATAAGGGGTTTTTTTATATTAAAAGAACATCAAACGCCCAAATTAAGATCTTTAGTGATGTCAGAGAAGCAGATGTTTTCAAAATAATATCACTTGTTTTATTATAAGAGAGTTCGTTATCGATCGCCAGCATAATGCTGCTCGCTGGCTTCGTCTACGAATGGCCAGGATTTGCACTTTCCTCTCACATCAAGCTGACGCACCGTTATATAACTGAAATACTGTTAAAATCGGGGTGTATCCAGCTCACTTACTCCATTAGTGTTCTCCACAGAGTATCAGCTCTACTCGATTGTATGGCCAAAATGGTGGCCTAAATAGGAGATAACCTACTCTGGGGTTTTTTTTAATTTGAGGTCCTCTCACTGTAAATTTGATACTTATTACTTTTAATTTGAAACCGAGCGCTATAGCCTTTTCTGATTTGGCAATTCGCGTTCCGTAATCGTGTTTAAAATTGTTGAATGTATATCACTAAATGAGTTAGTCCTAGAGTTGTTACACCTTTACTTTAGTATGCCAGATCACCTATAAAATCACTCAATATGCTTGAAACATGCACACACATCCATCCCACCATCCCCCTCTGGATCCGCTTGTGGACAAGACATGGGTAACTGCATTGGGGATTGACATAGTCTGATAATTTAATGAATATAATATTCTGAATACCGTACAAAACTATAGCTTTACAAACATTGTGGACTATTGTCACCTCGACTTCGACATTGGCCCTTGCACAAAGCAGCATCCGCTTACGCCGCCTTAAACATTGTGGTAGAGCAGTATGCCGAGAATCGAACCCGGATCTTTGCCATGACGAACATATACATTAACAACAAGGCTACCACACCATCCCCGGCTGCTAAGAACAGAACGGAGCGCAAAAAAAGGAAAACGTAAGCAAGCAACTACATTTCACATCCAGTTCTTTCGACATGTAATTCTTACCGAAGGCCAAGTTCACAGAAGGGTTGGAGAAGGTTTTCATATGAAATAAGCTCGCCATATCTACAGAAACAACTCGTCAGGTAATAAAGACGCCCACTTCTGTCGATGAAAATGACGATCTGTGACGTCACATGTCTATGACGTCAACAATAAAGTACCTTTGTTTTTAGTTCGCGAAATGTGTATTGCGTTGGGGTTTTTTTTACTTTAAACTGCAATAATCTTGAACGCGACCCACGTTGAACCCCATTTCACTACACCTCACGTCGGTGGTAGAAGGTGAGACAGGTAAATGTCATACCATGTGGATTGTGGAGGGAAAGGCTAATATTGATGTCATTGAGTGCTTTTGTCTATAAGGGGTTTTTTATATTAAAAGAACATCAAACGCCCAAATTAAGATCTTTAGTGATGTCAGAGAAGCAGATGTTTTCAAAATAATATCACTTGTTTTATTATAAGAGAGTACGTTATCGATCGCCAGCATAATGCTGCTCGCTGGCTTCGTCTATGAGTGGCCAGGATTTGCACTTTCCTCTCACATCAAGCTGACGCACCGTAATATAACTGAAATACTGTTCAAATCGGGGTGAATCCAGCTCACTCACTCCATTAGTGTTCTCCACAGAGTATCAGCTCTACTCGATTGTATGGCCAAAATGGTGGCCTAAATAGGAGATAACCTACTCTGGGTTTTTTTTTAATTTGAGGTCCTCTCACTGTAAATTTGATACTTATTACTTTTAATTTGAAACCGAGCGCTATAGCCTTTTCTGATTTGGCAATTCGCGTTCCGTAATCGTGTTTAAAATTGTTGAATGTATATCACTAAATGAGTTAGTCCTAGAGTTGTTACACCTTTACTTTAGTATGCCAGATCACCTATAAAATCACTCAATATGCTTGAAACATGCACACACATCCATCCCACCATCCCCCTCTGGATCCGCTTGTGGACAAGACATGGGTAACTGCATTGGGGATTGACATAGTCTGATAATTTAATGAATATAATATTCTGAATACCGTACAAAACTATAGCTTTACAAACATTGTGGACTATTGTCACCTCGACTTCGACATTGGCCCTTGCACAAAGCAGCATCCGCTTACGCCGCCTTAAACATTGTGGTAGAGCAGTATGCCGAGAATCGAACCCGGATCTTTGCCATGACGAACATATACATTAACAACAAGGCTACCACACCATCCCCGGCTGCTAAGAACAGAACGGGGCGCAAAAAAAGGAAAACGTAAGCAAGCAACTACATTTCACATCCAGTTCTTTCGACATGTAATTCTTACCGAAGGCCAAGTTCACAGAAGGGTTGGAGAAGGTTTTCATATGAAATAAGCTCGCCATATCTACAGAAACAACTCGTCAGGTAATAAAGACGCCCACTTCTGTCGATGAAAATGACGATCTGTGACGTCACATGTTTATGACGTCAACAATAAAGTACCTTTGTTTTTAGTTCGCGAAATGTGTATTGCGTTGGGTTTTTTAACTTTAAACTGAAACATTCAAAAGTGTTTTTGGTCATATTGATAATCGCTATACATGTACCATAAACAGACCGCGATCAATTTCAGATGTCAAATTGTCGTGCAGTAAACGGCGAGACATCTGATTGGCTACTCCATGGAGATGACCTGGGATCACTTGTTGTTTATACAGTTTAATCATTTCCGCTTTTCGTATTTTTGTCAATGATACCCATGTTGTTTAAGCCAGGATTTTTTTATGAAAGTTGTAAATATACTACTTATCTTGAAATCGGCCGTTGTGAACAATCCCTCTCGTAGAAATGCCTGTCACATCCGTACGCCAACAGCTAATGTGTTTAGGGGCGGTAGGGGAAGCCTAGTGGTTAAAGCTTTCGCTCGTCACTCCGAAAACCCATACTCACTCACTCGTGTGTTTAGCCAACTTGGTAAAGCAACGCCTACTGTCACCGCCGAGAGGTCTTTCAGTGTCATGAGGAGAGTGAACAGTTTGACTCTGGGCATTGGCATTGCTACACGTATTCAAGGTATTGTAGTCAGATAAACTTCAAAATGAGGATTCTTCGATCTGTTCTGAGATATCATAATTGTATTGACAATATTGAACTTCCGACTTCTTTTCACAATTAAGAGATTATTGCAATAATTAATTTGTTTCACAATGTTTATTGTAATAGTTACGCATTCACCTAAACAACCCACCCATGACCTTTGTGGGTCCGCGTTATGATGTTTGTTGCTGAGGACCAATTCTAACTCGGAATCCCAATTGTGATGGAATGTATGAACTAACGTTCCATAATACTGTACAGTTTGTATTTTTTAGTTTTAATTTTAATTTAACCCGTCAACACCAGCGACATCCATTCCTAACTGCAAGTGAAAATGCTCGACAGACCATAGGAACACATAATCGACACATTAGCCGGGACACTGTGATCCGACGTCTCCGTTCCAACAACCTCAGATGTCGCCGACCAGCACGTCGTCCTGTTCTCCAACCACGGCATCGACAAGCACGACTCAGTGGGCACAGGGTCATCGCAGTTGGCGTCATCGTGTGTGGAGGCGTGTCATCTTCTCTGATGAAAGTCGCTTTTGTGTCTCCCATGCAGACGGAGAAGTCAGAATTTGGCCGCTTCGAGGTGATCGTTTCGCTGAAAGAAACGTTGTGGAAAGGGATCCATGGGGTGGACCCAGCGTCATGATATGGGCAGGGGTTGGAGTTATGCGAGACTTGGACCCATGTGCTTCCTGAATGTTGGTCAAGGTCGGGGACACGGCGTCACTGCTCAGCGATATATCGACCAAGTGATCAGACCCCACGTTGTTCCATTTTTTGCACAACATCAACAACCCATTTTCCAGCAGGACAACGCTCGTCCCAATGTTGCCAGAGCTACCATGACTTTTCTGCAACAACACAACATCCGTGTTCTACCGTGCCAAGCCCTCAGCCCTGATCTGAACCCCATCGAACACTTGTGGGATGAGGTTCAAAGGCGTCTGCACAATGTGCGCCCAGTCCCTACAACTGCCGATGAACTACGCACAGCTGCTCTGGATGTGTGCAGGAGGATCCCTAGGGCCTTCACAAATCGTCTGATCCGCTCAATGTACAGGAGATGTGTGGCAGTGATCAATGCTAATGGTGGTCACACCAGGTATTGACTGACACTTTGGGTATTGACCCGAAACTGTGTAAGCCCTTAACATTTGAAAAACACAATTATGTCATCTGCCTTTCAATCAATTAAACTGTCTTCAGTCAAAAAAATTTCAATCTTGCCCTATTAGTATTTCTTGTCTTTACTGTTGAAAATAAATAACATGTACACTGAAACTTTGACTTGCGTTTCTTCTGCGTGTGAGTATATTATTAGTTGTTGACAGATGTCAGAGCATGATGGTGCTTTCATGTTACCAATAACATCTGAGGTTCTGAGATCTTTCTAAAACCTTTTTATAGCTGTGACGATGTTGAGTAATGTGTCAAGTGACAAATAATTGTGCATATAAACTCAGGTACTATAACCTGAGAAATACGCGATTATGTGGTTGCGTAAATAAAATGTAAAATCATGTTGAAATATATGTGACTGTTTGATGTTTATCAGATCATTGTCACAGTTTAACATCTGTCGACATGCTGCCACGTCAATGAATGAAACGGTTTCTTTATGTGTCCTTTTTAAGCGAAAAGCCGTCAGACACAATTTGACGAACCCAGATTGAACCTCTTTGTTGAAGTCAAGGGCAGGTAACTCCCAACTGGCACGCACGCGAGCACCTGTTTACCGTTTCTCCAATGTCAATGTTTATTACGGTTATGTGTATCATTCGTCTGTAACTCACTTTCCATCACGAGGATCAAAATAACTACATCTTGGACGAATAGATCTGTATATTAAGCGCATATATCACAACCGATGTTTCATTAAAAGAGAGGACAGAGTATATTCAGTGCATTTTCAATGTTTCCAACAAGATCTCCTGTGTCAGATGTCCAGAACTATGTCGGCAACTAATGTCTTTCAGAGGCTGAGAAATGCTTCGAGACGTCGTTTCATCAGACTTGGTGCTCCGTTTCTGGTATGATGTTACAGATATAGTACAATAATACACCGTAATAAACCAAGGAAAAAATAACATATATGTCCAAGGTTAACATGCAGTTACAACTGTAGATGATTCTCAAGTATTTGGTAAAATTGTTTATTTTAGTTAACATTATCAATATACATGTAGTTGCAACACCAGTCAATATAGACATGTATTTTGTATGAGTTTAACTTTAAATGTGATACTATCCATGGGCGGATACAGCTTTTTTAAAAAGGGGTGGGGGGTGGGTTGGTGCACGATTAAGATCTATTTATTGTCTTTGGTGGTAATTTATACAGAAATAAAGATTTTTTTCGAAATAAAAAGGGGGTGCACACACACACAACCCCCCCCCCCCCCCCCCCTCTGTATCCGCCCATGCCATCTGTTTTAAATATATCAAACAGTATTTCTTTGTAAACCCCAATTCGTGTAAATTGTAACATTGATGTCCACAGACAAACACTACATACCCCATTTCCTCGGTTAAACTGTGGCTTTGATTAAATGCCATGTAGTGTCTGAAAAAGATATTATTCTGGGTGTTTAATTGAGGATATATGGTACAACACGATTTATCTAGAATATGAAAAGTATGTCATGTGTCAACCATAATCATATACATACAATGTAAAAACTATGGGTCTATGGCTTTAAGTAAAAGCAGATATAATACATGATTGATTGGTTAAGACTAACTTAAAGTTTTTACTTTTTTTAGCTACTCATCGTTGGCGGATCATTTGGGTTGGAAAAGTTCACAGTGATTAGATATCAATTCCGAAAGGGGAAAAAGGTATTGTACATGTAATTTCTTTCATAGTTATTTCGACCGCCTCCGTGGTCTAGTGGTAGAGCGTCCACCTGGAGAGCAGAAGGTCCGGGGTTCGATCCCCAGCCGGGTCATACCAGAAGACGTTAAAAAATGGTACTTGTTGTTACCCTGTCTGGCGCACGGTATTAAGGGGCTAAAACAAGGACTGGTCAGCTTGGAGTCAGTCAAGTAGCAAACTAGTACTACTACTTTGCAGTCCAGGGTCAGTGGGGTAGCCTTGTGGTTAAAGTGCTACTCGTCTAGCTGAAGGTTTTGCTTCAACTCCCCACATGGGTACATGGGTACAATGTGTGAAGATCATTTCTGGTGTCATCCCACAGTGATATTGCAGAAGTATTGCTAAATGTGGCGTAAAACCAAACTCACTCACTCACCTTGCAGTACAGATAACTAACCTAAATTGAGTTTGTAGCTAGGTTTTGTTCCACAAGGCAATCTTCTCACGAAAGTATCATATACAGTAAACTACGGTTATAACGAACTCAAAGGGACTACTATTTTTAGTTCGTTATAACCGTAGTTCGTTATAAGCATATATACAGCATAACTACAGCAAATAGTCGGGACTAAAAAGTTAGTTCGTTATATCCGTCAGTTCGTTATAAGCGTGTTCGTTATAACCGTAGTTTACTGTAGTTAGTTGTAAGAGGCACTTGGCTCAAGCCAACTGACAGTCCTCGCAAGTTTGATTCTAGTCGTTCAAACAACACTTTGTCTTCTAATGCAAATTTTGGAATGTATGTCCATCTAACTCTTATTGAGGATCCTAATTACATAGAGATGCCTCTGTTGAACAATGGCAACAATAGCAACAAAGTCTAGAGCTGGCCTGACCATGGAGCATAGTCTGTCTTTAATGCATGGCACTCAGACTGATCTGTTAATGCAGCCCAGGCTTTCTCTTCTTTGTTGAACTCCTATCTATTTGAACATACAAATATATTCCATTATTTCAAAATGGGATAAATATTAATAAAGATATTAATGTAGATGGAAATGTTCGACTAAATAAATGATACTGAAAGCTAGACAGATTTACAAGGCAACTTCGAGTAGTTTCAGCTATTTCAAGCACTGAAATGTTTCTACTGTATACTGTAAGCATTCTATACTGACAATAATAAATGTGTATTTACCCTTGCATTGTGACCTGTTCAAGGCAATTAGTATGATCTGAAAGCTTACAATTACCATCCATACACATTTACAATGGTCTGTTTTTCAGCTAACAGAAGAGGAAGCTGCAAAACATGGTTTAAATTTGAAGGAAACAAAAGGCACAGAAGCCATTGAAAAAGCTTATGAGGTAAATATGAGGGTTATAGTCAAAAGAGCCACACATCAAAAGGACCACAAACACATTGGTCAAAACGCCAACACAAAAAAGTAAAAAAGTGTACACTAAAGTCAAAAGGGGCACACTAAAGTCAAAAGGCGCACACTAAAGTCAAAAGGGGCACACTAAAGTCAAAAGGGGCACACTAAAGTCAAAAGGGGCACACTCAAGTCAACAGTGGCACACTAAAGTCAAAAGGGGCACACTAAAGTCAAAAGGAGCTCACTAAAGTCAAAAGGCGCACACTAAAGTCAAAAGGCACACACTAAAGTCAAAAGGGACACACTAAAGTCAAAAGGGGCACACTAAAGTCAAAAGGGGCACACTTAAGTCAAAAGGGGCACACTTAAGTCAAAAGGGCACACTAAAGTCAAAAGGGACACACTAAAGTCAAAAGGCGCACACTAAAGTCAAAAGGCGCACACTAAAGTCAAAAGGAGCACACTAAAGTCAAAAGGCGCACACTAAAGTCAAAAGGGGCATATTAAAGTCAAAAGGCGCACACTAAAGTCAAAAGGCGCACACTAAAGTCAAAAGGCGCACACTAAAGTCAAAAGGGGCACACTAAAGTCAAAAGGCGCACACTAAAGTCAAAAGGGGCATATTAAAGTCAAAAGGCGCACACTAAAGTCAAAAGGCGCACACTAAAGTCAAAAAGGCACACACTAAAGTCAAAAGGGGCACACTAAAGTCAAAAGGCGCACACTAAAGTCAAAAGGGGCACACTAAAGTCAAAAGGCGCACACTAAAGTCAAAAGGCGCACACTTAAGTCAAAAGGGGCACACTAAAGTCAAAAGGGGCACACTAAAGTCAAAAGGGGCACACTAAAGTCAAAAGGTGCACACTAAAGTCAAAAGGGGCACATTAAAGTCAAAAGGCGCACACTAAAGTCAAAAGGCGCACACTAAAGTCAAAAAGGCACACACTAAAGTCAAAAGGGGCACACTAAAGTCAAAAGGTGCACACTAAAGTCAAAAGGGGCACATTAAAGTCAAAAGGCGCACACTAAAGTCAAAAGGCGCACACTAAAGTCAAAAGGGGCACACTAAAGTCAAAAGGCGCACACTAAAGTCAAAAGGGGCACACTAAAGTCAAAAGGCGCACACTAAAGTCAAAAGGGGCACACTAAAGTCAAAAGGGGCACACTAAAGTCAAAAGGCGCACACTAAAGTCAAAAGGGGCACACTAAAGTCAAAAGGGGCACACTCAAGTCAAAAGGGGCACACTAAAGTCAAAAGGGGCACACTAAAGTCAAAAGGCGCACACTAAAGTCAAAAGGGGCACACTAAAGTCAAAAGGGGCACACTCAAGTCAAAAGGCACACACTAAAGTCAAAAGGGGCACACTAAAGTCAAAAGGCGCACACTAAAGTCAAAAGGGGCACACTAAAGTCAAAAGGCGCACACTAAAGTCAAAAGGGGCACACTAAAGTCAAAAGGGACACACCAAAGTCAAAAGGGGCACACTAAAGTCAAAAGGCGCACACTAAAGTCAAAAGGCGCACACTAAAGTCAAAAGGGACACACCAAAGTCAAAAGGCACACACTAAAGTCAAAAGGCACACACTAAAGTCAAAAGGCGCACACTAAAGTCAAAAGGCACACACTAAAGTCAAAAGGCTCACACTAAAGTCAAAAGGGGCTCTAAACCAAAAGTGGTGACATTATTATTAATATAAAAATTAGTGTGATCAGGCTGAAACCTGTGTGTAAACGATAATGATCACACAACAATCTTCACATGGCAATTGTGGACAATCTACGGAAAAATTAGAATATATCACATCTCCTAAACTGCTTTACCAAATATGTTGAGCCTTCATATGAATCTTTGTTACCATATAATAAAAAGGATAATATTATACTGAGATAATTATGTCCTCTCACATCAACCATACCACACAGCCACAGTTATGTTACTTAACGGCTTAAGATTTCACTTCATAAACTACTGAAAACAAGTTAGAGAGCACTCCTAATTGGCAGGTTGCGTGTTGCAGTACCCACCAGCTTTGACAGTTTAACTATGGCAATATGAAAGATTTGTGTGTTCTTTAACTTGTTTTGAGTGGTATATTACATGTATAACATTCGGCTCACTTTGAATATACACAGCGTTTTGGCACTGTTTTTTTAATTTTTGTTAACAGAAACTGCAGAGGGATGACTTGGACAACTGGCAGAATGTCCGTGGTCCACGTCCATGGGAAGATTCCAAGACAGTTCAAGATCTTCAAAGACAGAACAAAGTTAACTAATTCAAGGGGACATAACTGACATTGTGAAGTGATTTGAAACGAATGGTGTGTGATGTAATTTTGTTATAGGTCATGTAACTACCAAGAAATCAATAAAGGAGATTCCTTTGTGTGTGTATATTGCTCATACACTGATGTCACCTTCACTTGATGAATCTTCCGATACTTCATGACGCATGTATTAGGTAAAAAAAATAATAATTGGAAACAAGTGGTTCCGAGGATGCATGGGCAAGGTCTTTCAAAAGGAGTCATATGGGCAGATTCATATTAGCAGCCTTGACGTTTTCTTGGTTAGAAATGTTCCTTTTCTTTATGTTGGCGACAAAATGCTTTCATGGAGGCAGATTTACTGATGCATCAGGGCCTAAGAACTGAGATGAAACGAACAAGATTCAAGTTGAGCCAATTCATTTACATCAGAGACCATGAACCGTCTGTATATGGTCTCCAGCTGTGCAGACTAGGGATGGGATGTTACACATGAACTACCCGGGTATCTAACTCCTAAAAGCCAACCCTACCTAGGTAGCTGCTCCAGGTCTCAAGAGTTTGGTACAAAAAATGTACGATTGGAAATTGTCTTAACTATGCCCAGGCTAAAAACATTTACATACACATATATAAAACGAACTGATCATGCATACACTGAAGTTGACTGAGGCTTTAATCTTTAAAAGTCAGAAGGGATGCAGACATTAGCGACTTGTAGTGTAACCATGGAGTTTATTGTTATTGTCATTAAACAATATAGCATGTGACTAACAACGGGTCGGGTACTCCTGTGCGTAACCGGGTCCTACTCAGTACCTGTCCCAGCTTTAGAAGAGACAACAAAATCGGTGTACAATGTTCATCTTTGTTTATTTTCAATATATAACTTCACTTAAAATATATATTGCACTTCGTTTTGTCACAAAAGGGTGATGACATGCAAGTCAACACACAAATCTTGGGTATTGTAAAGCTGTCAAAAACAAACCAGCAAACACAGCCATCTTATATAAATAACATGCATTCTTCAAAATATATAGGATTTACATTGTATTTTGTAAAAAGGAGATAAACTTAATGTTTTGTAGTTTGAGGATTTGATACCTCTATTTATGTATATTTTAGAGGTATCAAATATCCAAATAGGTCTCAAACCTTCAAATAAATAGGGCGCGGTCGGGTAGCCTAGTGGTTAAGGCGTTCACTCGTCACGCTGAAGACCCGGGTTCGATTCCCGACATGGGTACATTTCTGGTGTCCCTTGCCGTGATATTGCTGGAATAGCTAAAAGCGGCGTTAAGCCATACTCACTCACTCACAAAAATAAATAGTATGTTTACCTTTGTGACAAGAAAAGAACTCTTAAATGTTTGTATTGTTAATAAGTGATGTTGCCTTCAATTATTTTATGTACATAAACTATGTTTATGCATCAGGACACATGGCATTAGAAATATAGGACACAGCTCTGCTGTAAGCACCAAGTAAGCCACCCTAGTGTAGATGAGGTTATTCTAATGTGACCTCACTGATGATGGAAGTCTTTTTTTGCATTTGCATTCACACATTTGATGGCACTTGACTGCACTTTGACTGCTCTCCAAACATCAGGAAGATCCCACATTCAAGGGGACAAAGCAGAAACAACTAAAAACCTTATCTGGGGATTCAACTACGGAAGTGAAGACAAACATCAAAGTCCGAAACAAGTGGATGAAAAGAAGATGGTAAACCCAGCATTATTGACCTTGCTTGATACAAAGAATATAAAAATCATACTACCGTGAAATCTGATAAATAAAGGGCCTAAAATAAGTCAACAAACACTTTCTGGAAAAATGTTTAACAACCTATATTTCTCAATATAGAGTATAAGTGCTTTATTTTTTAACTAGTTCACTAATAACACCTACTCAACATTCCTTTCACATTAAAATAAAACACTTAAACACTCGTTTACGGACATAATGTACGGTAATTTCCAATGAATTGGGTTCTAAAGTTCTTTGGGCTTAAGTTAATTGGCAGTACTTTCAAGCTGATTCAAATCAGTAATGACTTTGGTGGTTTGTAATCTCAAATTTTATCATGTGTTCATTCTAACAGTTAATGATTACCCAATTTAGACGGAGACAATGTCTCTGTTTTATATTACAAATTATAAGATCAAGACCTAGATTAGAAATGGGCACTATCCCAATCATACTAACCCTGTAGTGAGTGAGTTGTCTTTAACACACTCTATTCCAGTTATAACACAGCGTGTCAGCCTAATGAAGGAGGAAAGCCCGAAGAGATGCAGGTCTCAGATGCTTACCACTTTGGTGAAACTCTAGAGCATAAGTTTATCATCACCAAATGTCCAAGGCATAACAAAGAAATCAGGAACAGGGTCACATGCAAAATACACAAAATGTCTCAGTTTTCGTCTGGAATCCTCAGCAGAGTAATCGGCACATCATCATCTCGCCTTTGAAACAGCATCTCACCTTCAAATTGAATCAGATGTTGTTTACGAGCACGCATCAACATACCCACAAGTTTATTGGAGATTCTAGTGTAAGCTTCAAATAATGGCCCAAAAGTAATTATATATGTTCCATCATCTTGTCTGCAGCCAATCTCAGCAATCACATGACACAGCTCCACTATCTCTCCGCTGATCAGATTCCCAGCCTGACGACCTCTCCTCTCTGTAGACGACCCTGCGACGGGTACACCATAGTTCACATCATCTTTGCTGAGGGCTGATCGATGGGATGCACCCTCCCATTCTGAGAAGGGGTTTATCATCTGTTTCTCCTGGTGCTCATCTGTACGTTTTTGCCACAAGGCAATCTTTCCTGTCATTCTTTTTGATGCCATGGTAAATGATGGGCGGGTCTCTGCTGTCAGCCACCTATAAAAGTATTAAATAATGACATGCCAAGACAATATCTTTGGGGAAAATTTGCCAGTTTATTCAGAGAATATATTCACATCTTTAATCCAATTTCATCAAAATCATGATCCCTCTTTGCATTAGGATTGGTCTTATTTAATCTCAGCTGGTATGTCATGATTGCTGTAATTTTGCTAAAAGAACTCTTATAAACTCTGGTTTAAATGCTGGAAACATCTAACACAAGTTTCACCTTTCCAACCCATAATGGTCCTCTGAGAAATTCACATTGGGGTGTAACAAAACAGTTCATTGCTAACCTGGTTTGTCCAAATCCAGACACTTCTGGATAATTTGCCAGTATTTGCCACCAAAACTGATGTCTAGTGTGGCATTGTGATGGAGAGTTTCTCAGTCAACAGGAGTTGCATCCCTTCATCAAGGGAGACAATTTATTATTGATTACTTCCCTTTGATTGCAGTTCATTGCTATTAGGTCTCCAATGCTTTGGTCATTACTTGGCATTTGTGAGGTTAGACTTAATAATCGCGCTGAATATTAAAGTTCACTGAATAAGTTAATCATCCTATACACAGAAAAAATTTAAACAATTGATTACTGTGATTTAAATTTTTGTTTTGAAAAGGGATTCAACCACAATTGTTTTGCTGAAAATATATTAGCTCTCCTGATAATGCTGACACTAGCCACATTTTAAAAAAAATAAAGGATATACATTCCATTAAAACACTACCTTCAAATGGAGTGAGTGAGTTTGGTTTAACGCCGCTTTTAACAGTATTCCTGTTATATCACGGCATATCAGCTTAATGTGGGAGGAAAGCCCGAAGTGATGCAGGTCTCAGACTTTTACCACTTTGGTGAAACCCACGAGCACAGGTATGGTGCTGACAAACCTAGAAACATAATCAGGGCGAACCAGGATTCGAACCCACAATCATAGGTTTCTAGCATGCCCAAGGGACACAACTCTGCACAGCGAATCGCGGCGCCTTAGACGACTGGGCCACTGGTGCCCCCCCTTCAAATGGAAAAAATATGAAAAAAAGTCAAGTGTCTTACCATGCCTAATGCCACAATAAATTTTTAGATTTCCAATGTTTTCTTTATACAAAGTGTTCTGTGCAGATGTGATTCACATGGAGCATGAATGTTTAGAAGGATTACATACATAATGTACATGTTTTGCCTTTCATGAAGTTAATTTTCTTCATCTGTCGCAGTGTATGAAATAACTCTCAAAATATTGCTGGTCTAGTGGGCAAGCTAGCCTTTAAAGTGACGAGCTGGTTCAAATTGCACCAGCTTAAAAATGCACCAGTTTATTATTCGTCCCCACAACTTTTGATATGTGTCAGGAAAGTTTGTTCAGTAACATAGCTTGTGATTGGTTAATCTACAAATTACAACCAATCCAAACACGTTTGTTATACACAGTGTCAAAGTGACAACAATAACTCAAACAAGTGTGATAACTCTAAAGTCACAAAATCGATTCATTACAGATTTTACTTTTTATTGTTTTTCATTTTTGATAGTTGATCTACAGGAATGGGAGAACCTTTTTTCTATTTTAATCAGCTGAGGTGTGCATAATAAATCCCCATAAAAATATCAGACCCGTAAGCCTGACCAAAATCTTGCTAGCCACGGGCTAGTGGACAGGCAGCTATTTCGCACACTGATCTGTAGATACTTGGGACAATATTGATGATGTGACCTGGGGTGTTTGGTAGTGTTGGTTGGTTGGTTGGTTTGTTGTTTAACGCCACACTCAGCAATATTCCAGCTATATGACGGCGGTCTGTAAATAATCGAGTCTGGACCAGACAATCCAGTGATTGACATCATGAGCATTGATCCACGCAATTGGGATCGTTGACATGTATCAACCAAGTCAGCGAGCCTGACCACCCGATCCTGTTAGTCGCCTTTTACGACAAGCATAGTCGCCTTTTACGGCAAGCATGGGTTGCTGAAGACCTATTCTACCCCGGAATCTTCACGGGTCTGTTTGGTATTGCAGCAGGTGGGATTGAAAATCGTAAAAATATTTTATATGACCTAATACATTGTAATATGCAGAATTCATTCAACCATCTCTTCATTTTTTGCCTCCTTTTACCCTAATATTTAACTGTCCTTATAATCTGTGCAACAAAAGAGATGGGAATAAACAAACAATAAATCATCAATGTATTCATACTTTATTCATATCAAATCAACAACAAACTTTCAACAAAGATACAAATGCATGAGATGCAGGTAGTCGAGGTCTCTTGATACATCCTCATCTGTCTCACAGTAATGCTGAACTGTAGAAGGCTTTCATCAGGAACAGTATTTGAGCATAAACAAAACTACCATTCACTGAGGATTTTCTAGCATCCATAAAATGAAAATAGAGGATAGGTTGTATACAGGATACATCCAAACGTGCTGCATTGATGATGATGATAATACCATAACATTTTCAGCTTTTTTGCATGTTGAAGAAAGAAGAATTTGAATGGCATGCAAAAATGTGAATAAGTCCATATAAATATTTCCACAACCAATGTTTGAAAACATTGAAATAGTTTTCTAAATTCCAATATGTTTTTATGATATATATATATGTGCCATATCAAATTATCAATTGAGTGAACTTTAATAAAATAACTAACCATGCTACCAACTGATTGAGGTACAAAACAGAAAATTGTATTTAGACAATTCAATATACCGTATTCGACGTAAGAAGCGTCCTGCTCTAATAAGCGCCCACGGCGATATTTGTTAATATATTGGCTAGTGAACAATCTCATTTAGCATCCCTTCCAATTGATTAATGTACACAAGACTTATTTATTTGTGTATAATACGCACTCGTATGTTATATGCACCCATAATTATGGGAAATTAAATTCTGGAAAATATATCTGTCGTATATAAACATTTCAGGCTGTCAGCATAAACCACGAAATTTATGATCTTTCAACTCAAAATAATATTCTAGTAAGAGCCCCCTATTCCTAATTTTGAGAGCGCCCTGGGCGCTTATTACGTTGAATACGGTACATGATATATGTCTGGTTCTGTATCAATACATGAGTTCCTTGTTGCATGGCGCACAAATATCGGCATCCAACAAATACTGGAGAGTACCTCTTCCTTATGTTTGCAATGATGCAATCTATGTGAATAATGTCAGAATGCTTTCACTAATTCACACATTCATTGAGGCCTATGTACAGTTGTCTTCAAGACAACGCTATTTTGACTGACTCTTGAACATTTTCCTCAGTTTCTTGCCGCTATATCGGAACGATTTCATGAGTCCAGCCGTAAACACACTCTTGACACTCTGAAACACACTTGACCACCACACAATATTGGAAATTATCTTCCCCACGTGCTCATCACAGTATCTGTCGTGAGCGAAGACCCTCAACACCTCCTCCAGGTCTGGTGAGCTGCCTCCATGTGATCTCATTTCTACAAGATGAGCCTGAACATTCTTCGGAAGCAGGCTGAGATGATGGTATTGGGAGATGTAGTTTGGGTATTGTTCAAAATTGCCTTTAGATTTGTGCCAGTAGATGTGTTCTTCGTTGTCAAGAATAGTCTCGTACAACCTCCGGAAATATTCAATGTTTGGTTTCACTATGTTCATTATTTTCTTCTTGTCTTCTCCAAGGGTCATGCGAAAATCTCCCTTATAGGAAAGTCCAGTGATGGCAACATAAAGATCTTCCTCCGTAAAGAATTCTGGGAGCATGAGAAGTGCTGCGTGAACAGCACTCTGAAGATTGATTTGCATCGCTGAGAGCAGATTTGTGCTTTGGGGTATTATGAGAAGCTTGACTGGTTTATGGAGGCGTCCACTGACATACAGTGTATCCCAGTCAAGGAGATCAGTTATGAGACGATCAGTGCTGATAACACCATATTTGATCAGTCTTTCTTCAAAGGGAACAAGAGTATTGAAATAAATACCAGCACTAAATTTATCCTGTACTCTTGTGACATGTTTTGGTCCAAAGAACTTGAGGAAGGAATAATGCTTTGGATTCATTCTTATATTCTGTCTATGCCATAACAAGGGATCGTCCACAACGAAAATGAAATCCAACATGTTCTTTGACATGTCTACATGTCCTTCTTGTTGATAGACACCTGAGCCATAAGCTAGCGCCATCTGAATATCGTCAGGAAAGGTGGAGAGAACTCTCTGATAAAGTGATGACACAAGGCTCTTTTCAACCAAAGAAGAGCACATCCGTTTCACTATGATCTGGGACACGAGTCCCATTTTAAATTTTAAAAACATGGTGCAGCAGATTAGCCTGGCTAAACACAAGTCTCAACAGCAATGTGATCTGTAACTTCAATTATACTGTCTTCATAAAATTCTAAAATTGACACAACTACTTATTTCTGGGGTTTTTCTTCTTCTTTTTCAAACACGCCCACACCAGAAACTGATGTTGTCCTTAACATGTCAAGCTGCTTTTGGGCTTTTCTCATTGCATATTCTATTTGAATGATGTCAGTCTTTTGCATTTGAGCACCTTTCTTGAACTGTTCCTGAACGTATGACCGGAGTCCTGGTTTATCCTTTGCCTCTCTGAGGAAGTGGCGGTAAAGACTGAGTACTTGAAGCTGTAGCTTGCTGTGGCGAGGCATTGCAAGCTCAACGAACAGGTCCGCAGATTACTGTCAATGAACGTCTCATTGGTGTACTCTGAAACATGATGAAGTCACTGCATGAGAGCAATCATCTTTATCACTGTACATGGGAACTAGTATAAACACAAAATAAAGTTACATTATTATTTAGCGACTTTGACATTTACCTTGCTATTCTTGATACTGATATTCCTACCGACAGCCACGAAATAATTAATGCACGCATATTAGGGCTGGGACGAGTCCAAATTTACTACCCGGGTACTTTATTACCCGGCCCTACCCGGGTACTCAACTGCAGGTCTCAAGAGTTGGGAACAAAATGTCTGATTGGGAATTGTTTTATCGCAGCCCTGGCCAAAACTATTGAGATTCATGTATCAAACGATCCATACACTGAAGTTGACCTTTACTCAAACATATACCAGTCAAACGGAATGTGTGCATCGTCAGAAATAAATGCGAACATAAGCGATTTGTGGTGTAACCAATGAGCTATAGTGAGTTTTTGTCATCAAACAATATATCACGCGACTAACCACGGGTCCGGTAAGTCCTGTGGGTACCCGGGTCCTACTCAGGACCTACCCGACCCGAGTACCCGAGTACCCGAGTTACCCGTCCCAGCCCTAACGCATATCATCAACCACTTTGTCAATATGTAATTTCATCATCTGCAATTAAATGGCTTTGCTCAGTGGTATTTTGCAAGTCCTCTAGCACACAAGGGAGGTTATGACAAGAATCACAGTGAGTCACAGTGAACGAGTTCATTACAAAAAGCTTTCATACCAGTTCAAGGGTCGGACATCAGAGTCAGAGCTGTCTCCTACCAGTGCAAGACATGTGTCCTCAGCCAGGTCGAGTTGACCTTTCACCCCTCTTACAGCAATAGAAAAAGTGGAACGTGCTATTTACACATTCCTAGAACGTTCTGACCAACTTCAGCATGTACTATTCCTGCAATAAATATAAGATAAAACCGTTATGCTCGACACTGGTGCATGTCAACACCCTTTTATATATTTGTATTGGACTTAAGCGAAAACGATGTTCCCACTTCCGGGTCCACGGCGGAAAATATGAAAGGATTAGGTCTTGATCGCGTGTTTTATGACTGATATATTCAAATAGGAGATTGGTAATGGAGAAACAGAAATCGTTCATTGCAGTCCACGCAGGTAAGTAACTTCGAACACATACCTTTAAGCTTTCATCTGTCACCGAAGGTGAAACAATGGCATTGGAAAAAAAAAAGTCAAAGGGAAATTCATTTTGCAAACTTACTTATGAGCAATTGCCAGGCATATTTATCTATCTTTCATGTTAACTTGAGACTGATGTAACACTAACAGCCAGGGTGCAACCACCATTACCATACAGCCACTAATTAAAGTTCCATCAATCCAAGAATGGCAAGATGCTTGGAGATCCATCAAGCCATCTCAAGTACCATCATTATGCTGTTATTCTGTCTTGGTACAAGACAAAAAGGGACAAAAACCCATCTCTGAAGAAATGGTCCGAATGATCCAATTTATTTGATCATTGTGATGCACTTAAAGGGGCACCAATCTCTGGCTTCTGAGCGTGACAAGAGACTGAGCTACCGTCTTCAAGGACAGCTAAATAAACTTGGAGGCAATATTTGTTATACGCATTTTTGAACATTGATTGGTTACCCGTGATCTATGAAGATTTCAACAAAGGGCGAATGTCATTAATTTCTTTAGCCAAAATAAACAGACAAAAAGACTGCCGAAATCTCATGGGATGTCGTTATTTGGAAATACCCCTGATGGTTATAGTTTAATAATAAAAAAAAGTATCCCTGTTGTGAAAGCATTTTCGGATTTCGGATTGCGTGGATAATACGATTATTACTTCCTTGTTGTCATCCATGTTTTCTGATATAACCCTACACCTGTGTATTTGTCGTCATTCACTTGATGCTCATTTAATGAATTTATTACAGGTATAATTAGTGGTAGCACCACTAAGATTACCTGATAAAGGTTCCCATTCGGCATTACTTGTGTCTGGGGTAATTATTAAATTGTAGGGTCCCTCGTCTGATAAGCATCACAGTTGGCGGTTATTTAGTTGCAGGCATCAGTTGTGTCAATACATTGTCACCCTGTACCATCAGTGGTGCAAGCTGATTACTGTATGTATACACATCACTAGCAAGTTACTAAAGTGTTCTCACGTGTGTGCTGATGACACGTGAAAATTGATAAATGGGTAAAACAGATTAAGATTATGTTAGTGAATCTATTGTTCGAGATATTACTTAAATAATCATGCCAATTGAGATGGGGACAGTGAGATCGATAATATTCAGCCCCTCCATGACCATCAGCCGCAGCACTGAAATGTAGTGTTGCATCCAGACCTGGTAATAATCTCTCATAACATGATGTTTGGTTTTCGTACATTCACTTTGTTGATTGTCTAAGGCACCGCGATTCACTGTGCAGAGTTGCATCCCTTGGGCACTCCAGAAACCTATGATTGTGGGTTTGAATCCTGGTTCGCTCCGATAATGTTTCTAGGTTTGTCAGCACCATACCTTTGCTCGTGGGTTTCACCAAAGTGGTAAACATCTGAGACCTACATCACTTCAGGCTTTTATCCCACATTAAGCTGACATGCCGTGATATAACTGGAATACTGTTAAAAGCGGCGTTAAACCCAACTCACTCACTCACTGTATAACTCCAACTTGTTCCCAGGTCCCAGGTTTGACACAACAAAGTTCAACTGAAAATTGATACAGATGATATCATTTAACTTGAAAAAAATAATGCATTTTATAAACAAATTGGAAATGTTAACATTGTTAAGAATATGTGCTGTGGTTAATAATATTTCTTTGTAATGAATGAGTGAGTGAGTGAGTATTGTTTTACGCCGCTTTTAGCAATATTCCAGCAATATCACGGCGGGGGGACACCAGAAATGGGCTTCACACATTGTATCCATGTTGGGAATCGAACCTGGGTCTTCGGCCCGACGAGCGAACGCTTTAACCACTAGGCTACCCGACCGCCCCTGTAATGAATGAACTCAACAGCTACCTCCCAAGTCTTGTTTGTAATTGTGCAAGTTGTGACTCTCTTTCTATGGTTAATTTCCTGCTGCAATAAGTAATGTGTGATGTGTTTATTTAGAGAAGTGTTACATGTAAAATTCATTATGCTATCCCTGTGAAGATCCATGCTTGTCATAAAAGGAGACTGTGCTTGTTTTAAGAGGCGACTAACAGGATCGGGTGGTCAGGCTCACTGACTTGGTTGACGCATGTCATTGTACATGTTGTATCCCAACTGCGTAGATTGATGCTCATGATGTCAATCACTGGATTGTCTGGATTGATTATTTACAAACCGCCATCATATACAGCTGTAATATTGCTGAGTGGGGCGTTAAACAACAAACAAACAAACAAACGTTACGATATCAACATGATTCTAGAATTACCTCAGCACAGCTCGAGTTTAGCATGGATGGTACCTGGGCTCACAGCCCTGGGCTGGCTGTGTTGGTGTATCATCAGACCTAGATTGTCTGGCAGTCAACAAACATCAGTGTTTTCATTCCAGGTGCTGGCTATCATTCAACAAACAAAGAAACAGAGTACAGATCGGTGTGTAAGGATGCATGCAAACAGGTGGGTATATTATCAGCTGTGTACTTGCATCAGCCGTAGGGGAATCATACTCTTGGTCTCCAGGGCTCGCGTTTTGGTTAACCTAAACTAACCCCTGGTTCCATTCCCGTGGATTTTGCGATTTCAGATTCCCTACCCTTGTTTTTCATCAGCCAGTATATTTTGTGAAGGCTGTTAATATTAATTTATTTTTTGTCTTATACCAAGATGACTGCTATATTTTTCCGGTTAGTTAGTTGTAGTTTTTTCCAAAGATTGGTCCAGAATGGAAACTTTTGCCCCAAAAATAAATTATGCAATCTACATGTGACTGCAATCTTCCTGTAGCCAAAGCTAGCATTTAGAAAAATGCATGAAGCTTCAACATGTACTCCAAACTTACTTACTTACTTACTTACTTGCTTACTTACTTACATATATTGGAGTGCGCTTTCCGACTGCAAGCGTATGTCGCACACGGGCCCGGCCAGGCCATTTAATGTGTTTCTAAAAAAGGGGAAAAGTGAGTTTGTGCCCCCCAGGAGGGGGGCTTTAGGGGTTGCTTATATAGTAATTTTGAAATTTTGAGATTTGGAATGAATGCCAAGAGTGGGTGGATGACGAACTAAGGGAGCTGTGTGAGTTGGGTGGTTGTTAGATTAGGTAGTTTTGGTTTTGATATTTTATTTGGGGTTTTAATGTGACTAATTAGTCCTGTTTTAATTAGGTATATGCCTAAGGCTTTGAATTTTTCTAATTTAGTTTGTGGATTTAGGATTGATTCTAGTGTAAGTGCGGTTTTAAGATTTAGGGTGTTCTGTAGTGTTGTTCGGTGTGTTTGGTTGTGTGTACAGTGAATGAGAATGTGTTCTGGTGTTTCTTGTTGTTTGCAATGTGGGCAGTTTCCTGTTGTGTGTAGATTAGCTATTTTACGGTGATTATTTAGTTTGGTGTGGCCTGTTTGTAGTTAAGTAATTATTCTGTCGATTTTTTTGGATGGGTGTAGTATTTTTGGTTTAGTTAGGTTTTTTTTTAGTACTTTCTTGATTTGGCAATACAACAATGTTTATCATACCTCATGTCACAATGAAGAGATCTGATTGGTCCATGTGACCTTAATAAAATACTATGTATCCCGCCTAGGAGGGAAACAAATTTCTTGGCAGGTGAATAAATCCCTTTTAGCTAACCATGGACCGCCTCCGTGGTCTTGTGGTAGAGCGTCCGCCCGGAGAGCGGAAGGTCCAGGGTTCGATCCCGGGCCGCGTCATACAAAAAGACGTTAAAAGATTGTACTTGTTGTTACCCTGTCTGGCGCTCGGCATTAAGGGGCTAAAACAAGGACTGGTCGGCTCGGAGTCAGTATACTGTGTCTGAGTGGGGTATTCATGTTAAACTGCGGCATGGTATCTCAGTGAGCTAGCACTATAAATCGGCATCAGTCCGGACTAGTACAAGCAGCCACACACACACATACACGTGCATGCACGTCGCTATATAAGTGCAATAATCTTGGACGCGACGTTAAACCCAATTTCACCTCACCTCACCTTTAGCTAACCATGAACAATTCTGTCTGCACATGGATTTCTGAGAGGCAGAATAAATCCCTTATACCCCGCTTCAAGCCCAAAAGCCGCGCACTTTTCCCGAGGCAATGGAAATCATGTGACATAGCACAAGTAAGCCTCAGCTCAATCGAATTGCTGTTTTTTATCAATTTTGAATTTGTTTTAATTCTTTTACAATGTCATATTAAAACATGTCAGCATAAAATCCCATGTACCCCTTGTGATCCTGCTATCACTGATAGTAGTACGCATGTTGCATAATGGTGTGTTGAGCTTTGCTGTGACCAACACGGCACTACAGTGATATTTATGGGATGTTACATCAAATATCTAGGTTTGCCTGAGGCATAAAAAAATATTCAATATCAGTATGGTAATTGATGTTAAACCATTTAACATTTGGCTGTGATTTAATTATCATTTGCAAGAGTTGGTTTGTTCAATTTACAAAATCTCCACTGGAAACTGGGCAAGCAACCTTTTTTCAATCAGTACATGTATCATTTGGCATATTTACATTCAGCCATCAAAACAAAATATATCGGCATGCTGGTGTGTGTTCCAGGCAATGGAGATTCTTCACAAGGAAGGGAATGCAGTGGAAGCAGTCACCAAAGCCGTGTCAGTGTTGGAGGTTAGTCAGGAGTTGATGGGCATTCACGGTTGTAATTCATGTCATGTTCCACAGAGCTTTTTGTAAGTAATGTTGCGAAACTCATTTGCTATTGTTACGTTTTCTTGCCCTATTCTGAAATTTGAACTCAAGGTCTTCTCCAGGAAGTAAGGATGGTGTGTAGTATTGGGGACTGATTAGGGAGCAACCATTTGATATTCTGGGGGCTGAGGGGGCCTTGGATTTTATTGAAAAAAATATATTGTTCCCGAAAATTGTTTAAAAATCCATTTTGCTTCAGAATCATGAAAAAAAAAAGAATTCATTTGCCACAAATATTACATTATTGCAAGGTGTTTTTAAAAAAAAGAAATATTCAGGCTCATCTATTTAAAGAAGAAAAATACCCGGTTTTGTAGATGTAGCTAAAAAATATCTGTGTGAAGTCAGAGTACACTATGTGAAGTCAGGGTACACTGTGTGAAGTCAGGGTACACTGTGTGAAGTCAGGGTACACTGTGTGAAGTCAGGGTACACTGTGAAGTCAGGGTACACTGTGTGAAGTCAGGGTACACTGTGTAAAGTCAGGGTACACTGTGTGAAGTCAGGGTACACTGTGTGAAGTCAGGGTACACTGTGTGAAGTCAGGGTACACTGTGTGAAGTCAGAGTACACTGTGTGAAGTCAGGATACACTGTGTGAAGTCAGGGTACACTGTGTGAAGTCAGAGTACACTATGTGAAGTCAGGGTACACTGTGTGAAGTCAGGGTACACTGTGTGAAGTCAGGGTACACTGTGTGAAGTCAGAGTACACTATGTGAAGTCAGAGTACACTGTGTGAAGTCAGGATACACTGTGTGAAGTCAGAGTACACTGTGTGAAGTCAGAGTACACTATGTGAAGTCAGGGTACACTGTGTGAAGTCAGGGTACACTGTGTGAAGTCAGGGTACACTGTGTGAAGTCAGGGTACACTGTGAAGTCAGGGTACACTGTGTGAAGTCAGGGTACACTGTGTAAAGTCAGGGTACACTGTGTGAAGTCAGGGTACACTGTGTGAAGTCAGGGTACACTGTGTGAAGTCAGAGTACACTGTGTGAAGTCAGGATACACTGTGTGAAGTCAGGGTACACTGTGTGAAGTCAGAGTACACTATGTGAAGTCAGGGTACACTGTGTGAAGTCAGGGTACACTGTGTGAAGTCAGGGTACACTGTGTGAAGTCAGGGTACACTGTGAAGTCAGGGTACACTGTGTGAAGTCAGGGTACACTGTGTAAAGTCAGGGTACACTGTGTGAAGTCAGGGTACACTGTGTGAAGTCAGGGTACACTGTGTGAAGTCAGAGTACACTGTGTGAAGTCAGGATACACTGTGTGAAGTCAGGGTACACTGTGTGAAGTCAGAGTACACTGTGTGAAGTCAGGGTACACTGTGTGAAGTCAGGGTACACTGTGTGAAGTCAGGGTACACTGTGTGAAGTCAGGGTACACTATGTGAAGTCAGGGTACACTGTGTGAAGTCAGGGTACACTGTGTGAGGTCAGGGTACACTGTGTGAAGTCAGGGTACACTGTGTGAAGTCAGAGTACACTGTGTGAAGTCAGGGTACACTGTGTGAAGTCAGAGTACACTGTGTGAAGTCAGAGTACACTATGTGAAGTCAGGGTACACTGTGTGAAGTCAGGGTACACTGTGTGAAGTCAGGGTACACTGTGTGAAGTCAGAGTACACTGTGTGAAGTCAGGGTACACTGTGTGAAGTCAGAGTACACTGTGTGAAGTCAGGGTACACTGTGTGAAGTCAGAGTACACTGTGTGAAGTCAGGGTTCACTGTGTGAAGTCAGAGTACACTATGTGAAGTCAGGGTACACTGTGTGAAGTCAGGGTACACTGTGTGAAGTCAGGGTACACTGTGTGAAGTCAGGGTACACTGTGTGAAGTCAGAGTACACTATGTGAAGTCAGGGTACATTGTGTGAAGTCAGAGTACACTGTGTGAAGTCAGGGTTCACTGTGTGAAGTCAGAGTACACTATGTGAAGTCAGGGTACACTGTGTGAAGTCAGGGTACACTGTGTGAAGTCAGGGTACACTGTGTGAAGTCAGGGTACACTGTGTGAAGTCAGGGTACACTATGAGAAGTCAGGGTACACTGTGTGAAGTCGGGTACACTATGAAGTCAGGGTACACTATGTGAAGTCAGGGTACACTGTGTGAAGTCAGGGTACACTATATGAAGTCAGGGTACACTGTGTGAAGTCAGGGTACATTATGTGAAGTCAGGGTACACTGTGTGAAGTCAGGGTACACTATGTGAAGTCAGGGTACACTGTGTGAAGTCAGGGTACACTTTTGAAGTCAGGGTACACTATGTGAAGTCAGGGTACACAACGGTGGGTACAGATACACTTTGGTGGGTACAGACACACCATTCGAAGTCAGGGTACCCTATGGTGGGTACAGATACACTATTGTGGTACAGATACACTATGGTGGGTACAGATACTCTATGGTGGTACACATACACTATGGTGGTGCACATACACTATGGTGGTACAGATACAGTACGATGGGTACAGATACAGTACGATGGGTACAGAAACACTATGGTGGTACAGATACACTATGTGGGGTACAGATACACTATGGTGGTACAGATACATTATGGTGGGGACAGATACATTATGGTGGTACAGATACACTATGGTGGGTACAGATACACTATGGTGGGTACAGATACACTATGGTGGGTACAGATACACCATGGTGGTACAGATACACTATGGTTGGTACAGATACACTATGGTGGGTACAGATACACTATGGTGGTACAGATACACCATGGTGGGTACAGATACACTATGGTGGTACAGATACACTATGGTGGTACAGATACACTATGATGGGTACAGATACAGTATGTTGGGTACATATACACTATGGTGGGTACAGATACAGTATGGTGGATACATATACACTATGGTGGGTACAGATACAGTAGGTGGTACAGATACACTATGGTGGGTACATATACACTATGGTGGTACATATACACTATGGTGGGTACAGATACACTATGGTGGTACAGATACACTATGGTGGTATAGATACACTATGGTGGGTACAGATACACTATGGTGGTACAGATACAGTATGGTGGTACAGATACACTTTGGTGGTACAGATACACTATGGTGGGTACAGATACACTATGGTGGTACAGATACAGTATGGTGGTACAGATACACTATGGTGGGTACAGATACACTATGGTGGGTACATATACTCTATGGTGGGTACAGATACACTATGGTGGGTACAGATACACTATGGTGGTACAGATACACTATGGTGGGTACAGATACACTATGGTGGTACAGATTCACTATCGTGGGTACAGATACAGTATGGTGGTACAGATACACTATGGTGGGTACAGATACACTATGGTGGTACAGATACAATATGGTGGGTACAGATACACTATGGTGGGTACAGATACACTATCGTGGGTACAGATACACTATGATGGGTACAGATACACTATGATGGGTACAGATACACTATGGTGGGTACAGATACACTATGGTGGGTACAGATACACTATGGTGGTACAGATACACTATGGTGGGTACAGATACACTATGGTGGTACAGATACACTATCGTGGGTACAGATACAGTATGGTGGTACAGATACACTATGGTGGGTACAGATACACTATCGTGGGTACAGATACAGTATGGTGGGTACAGATACACTATGGTGGGTACAGATACACTATCGTGGGTACAGATACACTATGATGGGTACAGATACAGTATGGTGGGTACAGATACACTATGATGGGTACAGATACACTATGGTGGAACAGATACACTATGATGGGTACAGATACAAAATGGTGGGTACAGATACACTATGGTGGGTACAGATACACTATGGTGGGTACAGATACACTATGGTGGGTACAGATACACTATGATGGGTACAGATACACTATGGTGGGTACAGATACAGTATGGTGGTATAGATACAGTATGGTGGGTACAGATACACTATGGTGGGTACAGATACACTATGGTGGGTACAGATACAGTATGGTGGGTACAGATACACTATGGTGGTACAGATACACTATGGTGGTACAGATACACTATGGTGGGTACAGATACACTATGGTGGGTACAGATACAGTATGGTGGGTACAGATACACTATGGTGGTACAGATACACTATGGTGGTACAGATACACTATGGTGGGTACAGATACACTATGGTGGTACAGATACACTATGGTGGGTACAGATACACTATCGTGGGTACAGATACAGTATGGTGGGTACAGATACACTATGGTGGGTACAGATACAGTATGGTGGGTACAGATACACTATGGTGGTACAGATACACCATGGTGGTACAGATACACTATGGTGGGTACAGATACAGTATGGTGGGTACAGATACACTATGGTGGTACAGATACAGTATGGTGGGTACAGATACACTATGGTGGTACAGATACACTATGGTGGATACAGATATTCTATGGTGGTACAGATACACTATGGTGGGTACAGATACACTATGGTGGGTACAGATACAGTATGGTGGGTACAGATACACTATGGTGGTACAGATACACTATGGTGGGTACAGATACACTATGGTGGTACAGATACACTATGGTGGGTACAGATACACTATCGTGGGTACAGATACAGTATGGTGGGTACAGATACACTATGGTGGTACAGATACAGTATGGTGGGTACAGATACACTATGGTGGGTACAGATACACTATGGTGGGTACAGATACACTATGGTGGTCACAGACACATTATGTTGGGTACAGATGCACTATGTGAAGCCCATTTGCAAATATTAACACAATTATAAATGATAAGAAAGTAAATATAATTTGTCTTTTCCATGCAAGGCATGCCTTCTGATGTTCATTCATTTTGAGTTTTGTTATGAAATCGATCCAATATTCTGCACCCATTGAAACCTAGAATTTCATTGATGGAATGACCTGATGCCAAGTTACACTGGTATACACTGCATCATGGCACCACAGGGAATGCGGCAAATGTTGCCAGATGATTACATTACCATGTTAACAAATAATCAAAATTACCAGTTATTCCTCCACAGTGATAACACATTGTATTAACACAGTCGCATGGGTCCCAGAGCTGAAGCAGGTTTTATGAAATGTCTGTCTGAATTGTCTCCCTTGAGACACTCTCAACATGACGAAGGCAACCAAGTACATTTTAGACAGGATTGGGATCGACAACAGCTGATGATGACATAATCATAATCATGTGATATATACAGGATACTCACGTGGGATATACATCTTCCCGAGGCAAGCGTGTCCACTAGCCTGTATCAAAGCCTAGTTTCTACCCTTGCCACATCAAGGCCACTTTTCTTGGCTTGACCCTGGGGCCACCTCGCCTAGATCACAAGTTGTGCCTCTTGCAATGAAAACGCGATATCCAATCAGATCACTATCCTTATCTCATACAACTTCACAAAGTACCTAAGCAACGACCTAGTTGACCAGATAACAAAATCATTCGTGATTAAATCCATGACACAAAAACATAGGCAATTGTTTTTTTGATGAAAAAAACGTGCCAACAAAGACAGGCAGCGGTGAATCTCTTTCATATGAAGGTGTACCAGTCGTGGATGTTGATTTTGTGAAAAGTTCTCTGATTGAACTTTCGATAGTTCAATCATATTTAGCACAGAAAAATGGGCTTGATGTGGCAAGGGTGGAAACAAGACTTTGATAAAAAGGCTAGTGGACGCTCTTGCCTCGGGAAGATGGGGATGTATTGATGAAACAATTCTTTGTATTCAAGCATATACTGATACAAGAAAGTTTCCTTCTCCCTACAAACTCTGCCATGTTGTCTGCTAAAACATTTTTATTCAATAAAAGTGATCCACCAACACCAAATTTCACCAGTGTCAAATAAATGTATTCTGAGAGCAGTTTATTTTCTGGGTCTTTATTATATTTTACCTCTGCAACCCTTATTTCGTCAATAATTTCTCATGACGTGTTCATTCAAGAGTTGGTCCAAAACTTGCTATTTCTTCTCAACTTAAGCTGACATGCTATGATATGACTAAAATACTGTTCAAAGCGGTGTCAACCAACTCACACACTTACAATGATGACTTGTTTATGGTTATGCAACCTTTCTCCTCAGGACTCTGAGCTCTCTGAAACTGTCTCTCATGACGTTATTAACCTAAGTATATACGGTTATGCAACCTTTCTCCTGAGGACTCTCTGCTCTCTGAAACTGTCTCTGATGACCTTATTAACCTAAGTATATACGGTTATGCAACCTTTCTCCTGAGGACTCTCCGCTCTCTGAAACTGTCTCTCATGATGTTATTAAGTTTGATGTATATGGTCATGCAACCTTTCTCCTCAGGACCCTGAGCTCTATGAAACTGTGTCTGATGACTTTATTAAGCTTGGTGTATATGGTCATGCAACCTTTCTCCTCAGGACTCTCCGCTCTCTGAAACTGTGTCTGATGACCTTATTAAGCTTGGTGTATATGGTCGTGCAACCTTTCTCCTCAGGACTCTGAGCTCTATGAAACTGTGTCTGATGACCTTATTAAGCAATGTGTATATGGTCATCCAAACTTTCTCCTCTGGAATCTCTGCCTTCTGACACTGTCTCAGATGACCTTATTAAGCTTGGTGTATATGGTCATGCAACCTTTCTTCCCAGGACTCTCCGCTCTCTGACACTGTCACTGATGACCTTATTAAGTTTGGTGTATATGGTCATGCAACCTATCTCCTGAGGACTCTCTGCTCTCTAAAACTTTCTCTGATGACCTTATTAAGCTTGGTGTATATGGTTATGCAACCTTTCTCCTCTGGAATCTCTGCTCTCTGAAACTGTCACTGATGACCTTATTAAGCTTGGTGTATATGGTCATGCAACCTTTCTCCTCAGGACCCTGAGCTTTCTGAAACTGTGTCAGATGACCTTATTAAGCTTGGTGTATATGGTCATGCAACCTTTCTCCTCAGGACCCTGAGCTTTCTGAAACTGTCACTGATGACCTTATTAAGCTTGGTGTATATGGTCATGCAACCTTTCTCCTCAGGACTCTGAGCTCTCTGAAACTGTCACTGATGACCTTATTAAGCTTGGTGTATATGGTCATGCAGCCTTTCTCCTCAGGACTCTGAGCTCTATGAAACTGTCACTGATGACCTTATTAAGCTTGGTGTATATGGTCATGCAACCTTTCTCCTCAGGACTCTGAGCTCTATGAAACTGTGTCTGATGACCTTATTAAGCTTTGTGTATATGGTCATGCAACCTTTCTCCTCAGGACTCTGAGCTCTATGAAACTGTGTCTGATGACCTTATTAAGCTTGGTTTATATGGTCATGCAACCTTTCTCCTCAGGACTCTGAGCTCTATGAAACTGTGTCTGATGACCTTATTAAGCTTGGTTTATATGGTCATGCAACCTTTCTCCTCAGGACCCTGAGCTCTCTGAAACTGTCACTGGTGACCTTATTAAGCTTGGTGTATATGGTCATGCAACCTTTCTCCTCAGGACTCTGAGCTCTATGAAACTGTGTCTGATGACCTTATTAAGCTTGGTGTATATGGTCATGCAACCTTTCTCCCCAGGACTCTGAGCTCTATGAAACTGTCACTGATGACCTTATTAAGCTTGGTGTATACGGTCATGCAACCTTCCTCCTAAGGACTCTGAGCTCTATGAAACTGTGTCTGATGACCTTATTAAGCTTGGTGTATATGGTCATGCAACCTTTCTCCTCAGGACTCTGAGCTCTATGAAACTGTGTCTGATGACCTTATTAAGCTTGGTGTATATGGTCATGCAACCTTTCTCCTCAGGACTCTGAGCTCTATGAAACTGTGTCTGATGACCTTATTTAGCTTGGTGTATATGGTCATGCAACCTTTCTCCTCAGGACTCTGAGCTCTATGAAACTGTGTCTGATGACCTTATTAAGCTTGGTGTATATGGTCATGCAACCTTTCTCCTCAGGACTCTGAGCTCTATGAAACTGTGCCTGATGACCTTATTTAGCTTGGTGTATATGGTCATGCAACCTTTCTCCTCAGGACTCTGAACTCTATGAAACTGTGTCTGATGACCTTATTAAGCTTGGTGTATATGGTCATGCAACCTTTCTTCCCAGGGCTCTCTGCTCTCTGAAACTGTCTCTTATGACCTCAGTAAGCTACAGGTATATGGTCATGCAACCTTTCTCCCCAGGAATCTCCACTCTCTGACGCTGTCGGGTCGGTTGGGTAGCCTAGTGGTTAAAGCGTTCGCTTGTCACGCCGAAGACCTGGGTTCGATTCCCGACATGGGTACATTGTGTGAAGCCCATTTTTGGTGTCCCCCGCCATGACATTGCTGGAATATTGCTGAAAGCAGCGTAAAACCATACTCACTCACTCACTCACTCTGACACTGTCTCTGATGACCTTATTAAGCTATGTGTACATGGTCATGCAACCTTTCTTCCCAGGAATCTCCACTCTCTGACAGTGACACTGTCTCTGATGACCTTACTAAGCTATGTGTACATGGTCATGCAACCTTTCTTCCCAGGAATCTCCACTCTCTGACAGTGACACTGTCTCTGATGACCTTATTAAGCTACGTGTACATGGTCATGCAACCTTTCTTCCCAGGACTCCCCACTGACCAATGCAGGCCTTGGGTCCAGCCTGACTCTCGAAGGGTGTGTGGAGTGTGATGCCAGTGTCATGGATGGACGCACTCTCACATCTGGAGCTGTCGGGTGTGTCATGGGTGAGTTGGAATTAGAGAATAACCAATGAGCTAGGGGGAATCACAGATTATCTGTCCCAGGTGAATGATTAGGATAGTGGAGTGTGATGATCCTACTCTAGCTCGTCTGGAGTAAGGATGGTTTCAGTTTATGTTTTCACTGACTTGACCGTGACACGAGTCGGGTGACCTGTGAAGATCTAGGTTAGAATTGGTCTTCAGCAACCCACGCTTGTCATAAGAGGTGACTAACGGGATCGGGTGGTCAGAGACTTGGTTGATGCATGTCATCTCATCCCATTTGCATGGATCGATGCTCACCATAGACCATCATCATATAGCTGAAATATCGCTACTGAGCGTGGCATTAAACAACAAACAGAAAAAGATTAGTCAGATTCACAGTCATTCTTGATTGTCATACTAAAGCACAGCTAAGGCAAGATTCTATGGCCTGTGTTATTTCGTTTATCTTTTTCACAGTGTTACAAGTGTGCCATCTCTCAGAGAGTTGTGTCTGTTTCAGATGTGCAGAATCCAGTGCAGGTTGCAGAGCGACTGGTCCAGACACAGGTACAGGGAGGTCTCTCTCATGGCCGCATACCCCCCAGGTTAGTGTCACGTAATGGCAACAGGCAACAGCGCATATTGCTTCAGTTATCCCTTCAGGAGTATGCTAGGCCAGAATACACCATGTCATAGAGCTGACGGAACTAATGGCAACAGGCAACAGTGCATTATTGTTTAGGCAAATTATATTTAATTATGAAAGAAGTCGCCATAAAACAATATTAAATATATCCATCCATCCATCCATCCATCCATCTCTGTATCCATCCATCCATACATCCATCTCTCCATACATCCATCCATCCATCTCTATCCATCCATCCATCCATCCATCTCCATCCATCCATCTCTCCATCCATCCATCCATCCATCCATCTCTCTATCATCCATCGTTCCATCCATTCATCCATTCATCCATCCATCTCTCTATCATCCATCTATCCATCCATCATCCATCCATCTCTCGATCATTCATCGATCCATCGTTCCATCCATCCATTCATCCATCCATCTCTCTATCCATCCATCCATCCACCCATCCATCCATCCATCCACCCACCCATCCATCCATCCATCCACTGTTGCAGCATCCTAGTAGCTCATGGCGCCAGGCAGTGGGCTGATCAACAGGACATCACTCTGACAGCAGACGCCGGCCATGTAACAGGTCAGTGAGGCCTTCCATTTATGTTTTGGTGCAATTCATATGATTTAAGCTGCAAGATTGGTACTTATGTTACCGGTATTACATTTGACAGCTTATGAAAAGGAAATATTGCATCTACGCACTCAAGTGTCCTTCAGATTCTTGTAGGAGCACTGATTACCGATTGGAGTAAAGTGCTTCATTTTACAGTGCAGGGTTGTGTTCTTAGCAATGCAAAGATTTGCTATAAAATCCCAGATTCTTCCCCAAAAGATGCTTGGTTTGTCAGCACCCTTTCCATGATTGTAAACAGATACAATCAGCATCTCATTGGTCTGTTCTTCACCATTATACAGACACACAACATTATCAATGAAATACTGTACAAAGCCTGTTTAAGGACCACGATGTATGTTAAGTTATAACTTTAATAAACTCATTCTTGTTACATAATATAGCCATGTCATGTGTTTCTGATTGTTTTTCCATATCAAATCAATTTGCAGCTTTGATGTCACTGATTGTGTGACATTATACCTTTTTAAAGTCTGTCATTGCTGGTCCAGTTTCAATTCCATTTCATGCCACTGTGTTGTGTTGCTGATTCTGTGACTGCCCTGATGATGTGGATCATTGCTGGTCCAGTTTCAATTCCTTTTCATGCGGGGCCACGGGTGGCCCAGTCGTCTAGAGCCGCAATTCGCTGTGCAGAGTTGCGTCCCTTGGGCACGCCAGAAACCTATGATTGTGGGTTCGAATCCCGGTTCGCCCCAATTATGTTTCTAGGTTTGTCAGCACCATACCCCTGCTCGTGGGTTTCACCGAAGTGGTAAACGTCTAGGACCTGCATCACTTGGGGCTTTCCTCCCACATTAAGCTGACACGCTGTGATATAACTGGAATAATGTTAAAAGCGGTTTCAAACCCAACTCACTCACTCATACCTTTGAGGTAGACTGCAGTTGACCCATTCCTTTGTCCAAAGACAGACATAATTCGGACGCACCAGCACCCGCCTCAGACAATTTTGTGACTGTTGTGGCATGGACACAATGGTTTGAATATATTTGTGATAATCCTGCAGCATGCGAGATGGTTGACATCATCTTGCCATATTTCTTCCAACGTGATAATATTCAAATATTAGACAAGTTTAAAGAAACTATTTCACCAAAAATTGATGTGGATGTGCCATCTTGCTTGACGTTGATAGAATTATGCTACCAAGCATACGTTAGATCACGGGGAGGTAATTTTAACAGCACAATGATATCAGTCCATTATGATGTAACTCAAAAAGCGTACTTTATCACAGGATAAAGTACAGTCAGCGCCTTTGATCTTTTAGCAAAGCACCATAGAATTCAGTACAACGGTTAGGTGAGAATGGTAAGGACAAAGTCAGGCGAATCAGAACATACAAACAATGACCTTTAATTAGCTGATCAGCACGAAACCACGTACGGGCATATTTTTATTCAAGAATTACTGAACTACCGTATTCAACGTAATAAGCGCCCAGGGTGTTCTCAAAATTAGAAATAGGGGGCTCTTATTGGAATAAAATTTCGTGGTTTATGCTGACAGCCTGAAATTATACAAAATAAAAGTCTGTGCGTATTATAACGACAGATATATTTTTCCAGAATTTAATTGCCCATAATTAAGGGTGCATATAACACACGAGTGTGTATTATACACGAATGAATAAGTCTTCAGTACATTAATCAATCGGAAGGGGTGTTACTTGGGATTGTTCACAAGTCAATATATTAGCAAATATAGACATGGGCGCCTATTAGAGCGGGGCGCTTATTATGTCGAATACGGTATTGCTCATCAAAATAAGATAATACAAGCTGGGTTTTTTCATTTATTTCTTCAAATAAAGAATCATGGCAAGAGAAACATGACAATAAATAAGGATGTGTTTGCAGGAATGGTAAAATATGAACATATATTTAGAAGTAATACCTTGTAATTGAGCAATGGTACATAGGAATGGCAATCAAAGTCTGATCATGAGCTACAGTGATACATGACAAAATGTCTCGAGTCAGTACTGCTTGCATGCAAAACAGCAATTGTCTCAGCTGGAACAAAGACTAGCTAACAAACCTCATGTAAATCTATTATTTGTAAAAATTGTCAGGCCTTTCGTTAACTACTTGTTTCTATTATTTTATTTCTTTTTTATTATTCCAGGGTTTTATGGTAGAAATTAATAAAAAATTAGAAAGGGTTATTTTATGTTTTTGCTTGGAATTTTTGTTTTGCATGTGGCATTAAAACATGTTTAAGAAATCTGTCTGTGGTAAAAGTTGAATGGTACCAACGTCATGGTTAATTAGATCCATTGAAGTGATGTGCTATGATGATCAGGTCAATACACATGCTTTACATTGGTGTACCAAGAGTGAGTGAGTGAGTTGGGTTTAACACTGCTTTTAACAGTATTCCAGTTATATCAGCTTAATGTGGCAGGAAAGCCCAAAGTGATGCAGGTCTCAGATGTTTACCACTTCCTAGAAACCCAACGAGCACTGGTATGGTGCTGACAAATCTAGAAACATAATCGGGGCGAACTGGGATTCGAACCCACAATCATAGGTTTCTGGCGTGCCCAAGGGACGCAACTCTGCACAGCCAATCGCGGTGCCTTAGATGACTGGGCCACCCGTGCCCCCACATCTCCCAAGACACGTGTCTCTCACTACCAGTGTACAAGGACATCTCCCAAGACGTGTCTCTCTGCCAGTGTACATGGACATCTCCCAAGACATGTCTCACTACCAGTGTACATAGACTTCTCCCAAGACATGTCTCACTACCAGTGTACATAGACTTCTCCCAAGACATGTCTCACTACCAGTGTTAATGGACATCTCCTAAGACATGTCTCACTACCAGTGTAATGGACATCTCCAAAGACATGTCTCACTTCCAGTGTAATGGACATCTCCCAAGACATGTCTCTCACTACCAGTGTACATGGACATCTCCCAAGACATGTCTCGCTACCAGTGTAATGGACATCTCCCAAGACATGTCTCACTTCCAGTGTAATGGACATCTCCCAAGACATGTCTCACTTCCAGTGTAATGGACATCTCCCAAGACATGTCTCTCACTACCAGTGTACACGGACATCTCCCAAGACATGTCTCTCTGCCAGTGTACATGGACATCTCCCAAGACATGTCTCACTACCAGTGTACATGGACATCTCCCAAGACATGTCTCACTACAAGTGTACATGGACATCTCCCAAGACATGTCTCACTACCAGTGTACATAGACTTCTCCCAAGACATGTCTCACTACCAGTGTACATAGACTTCTCCCAAGACATGTCTCACTACCAGTGTTAATGGACATCTCCTAAGACATGTCTCACTACCAGTGTAATGGACATCTCCAAAGACATGTCTCACTTCCAGTGTAATGGACATCTCCCAAGACATGTCTCTCACTACCAGTGTACATGGACATCTCCCAAGACATGTCTCGCTACCAGTGTAATGGACATCTCCCAAGACATGTCTCACTTCCAGTGTAATGGACATCTCCCAAGACATGTCTCACTACCAGTGTACATAGACTTCTCCCAAGACATGTCTCACTACCAGTGTACATAGACTTCTCCCAAGACATGTCTCACTTCCAGTGTAATGGACATCTCCCAAGACATGTCTCACTACCAGTGTACATGGACATCTCCCAAGACATGTCTCACTACCAGTGTACATGGACATCTCCCAAGACATGTCTCTCACTACCAGTGTACATGGACATCTCCAAAGACATGTCTCACTTCCAGTGTAATGGACATCTCCCAAGACATGTCTCACTACCAGTGTACATGGACATCTCCCAAGACATGTCTCACTACCAGTGTACATGGACATCTCCCAAGACATGTCTCACTACCAGTGTAATGGACATCTCCCAAGACATGTCTCACTTCCAGTGTAATGGACATCTCCCAAGACATGTCTCACTACCAGTGTACATGGACATCTCCCAAGACATGTCTCACTACCAGTGTACATGGACATCTCCAAAGACATGTCTCACTTCCAGTGTAATGGACATCTCTCATGACATGTCTCACTACCAGTGTACATTGACATCTCCCAAGACATGTCTCTCTGCCAGTGTACACGGACATCTCCCAAGACATGTCTCACTACAAGTGTACACGGACATCTCTCAAGACATGTCTCACTGCCAGTGTACATGGACATCTCCCAAGACATGTCTCACTACCAGTGTACATGGACATCTCTCAAGACATGTCTCTCTGCCAGTGTACACGGACATCTCTCAAGACATGTCTCACTACCAGTGTAATGGACATCTCCCAAGACATGTCTCACTACCAGTGTACATGGACATCTCCCAAGACATGTCTCACTACCAGTGTACATGGACATCTCCCAAGACATGTCTCACTACCAGTGTAATGGACATCTCTCAAGACATGTCTCACTACCAGTGTACATGGACATCTCTCAAGACATGTCTCTCTGCCAGTGTACACGGACATCTCTCAAGACATGTCTCTCACTACCAGTGTACACGGACATCTCTCAAGACATGTCTCACTGCCAGTGTACATGGACATCTCTCAAGACATGTCTCACTACCAGTGTACAAGGACATCTCTCAAGACATGTATCTCACTGCCAGTGTACATGGACATCTCTCAAGACATGTCTCACTACCAGTGTACATGGACATCTCTCAAGACATGTCTCACTACCAGTGTACACGGACATCTCTCAAGACATGTCTCACTACCAGTGTACACGGACATCTCGCAAGACATGTCTCACTACCAGTGTACACGGACATCTCCCAAGACATGTCTCACTACCAGTGTACATGGACATCTCTCAAGACATGTCTCACTACCAGTGTACATGGACATCCCTTAAGACATGTCTCACTACCAGTGTACATGGACATCTCTCAAGACATGTCTCACTACCAGTGTACATGGACATCTCTCAAGACATGTCTCACTACCAGTGTACATGGACATCTCTCAAGACATGTCTCACTACCAGTGTACATGGACATCTCTCAAGACATGTCTCACTACCAGTGTACAAGGACATCTCTCAAGACATGTCTCACTACCAGTGTAATGGACATCTCTCAAGACATGTCTCACTACCAGTGTACAAGGACATCTCTCAAGACATGTCTCTCTGCCAGTGTAATGGACATCTCTCAAGACATGTCTCACTACCAGTGTACAAGGACATCTCTCAAGACATGTCTCACTACCAGTGTACACGGACATCTCTCAAGACATGTCTCACTACCAGTGTACATGGACATCTCTCAAGACATGTCTCACTACCAGTGTACACGGACATCTCTCAAGACATGTCTCACTACCAGTGTACACGGACATCTCCCAAGACATGTCTCACTACCAGTGTACATGGACATCTCTCAAGACATGTCTCTCTGCCAGTGTACAAGGACATCTCTCAAGACATGTCTCGCTACCAGTGTACACAGACATCTCCCAAGACATGTCTCGCTACCAGTGTACAAGGACTTCTCCCAAGACATGTCTCACTACCAGTGTACATGGACATCTCCCAAGACATGTCTCACTACCAGTGTACATGGACATCTCCCAAGACATGTCTCTCACTGCCAGTGTACATTGACATCTCCCAAGACATGTCTCACTACCAGTGTACATGGATATCTCTCAAGACATGTCTCTCACTACCAGTGTACATGGACATCTCCCAAGACATGTCTCACTACCAGTGTACATGGACATCTCCCAAGACATGTCTCACTACCAGTGTACATGGACATCTCCCAAGACATGTCTCACTAGCAGTGTACATGGATATCTCTCAAGACATGTCTCACTACCAGTGTACATGGACATCTCCCAAGACATGTCTCACTACCAGTGTACATGGACATCTCCCAAGACATGTCTCACTAGCAGTGTACACGGACATCTCCCAAGACATGTCTCTCACTACCAGTGTACAAGGACATCTCCCAAGACATGTCTCACTACCAGTGTACATGGACATCCCTTAAGACATGTCTCACACTACCAGTGTACATGGACATCTCTCAAGACATGTCTCACTACCAGTGTACATGGACATCTCCCAAGACGTGTCTCACTAGCAGTGTACATGGATATCTCTCAAGACATGTCTCACTAGCAGTGTACAAGGACATCTCCCAAGACATGTCTCACTACCAGTGTACATGGACATCTCCCAAGACATGTCTCACTAGCAGTGTACATGGACATCTCCCAAGACATGTCTCACTACCAGTGTACAAGGACATCTCCCAAGACATGTCTCACACTACCAGTGTACATGGACATCTCTCAAGACATGTCTCACTACCAGTGTACACGGACATCTCCCAAGACATGTCTCACACTACCAGTGTACACGGACATCTCCCAAGACATGTCTCTCTACCAGTGTACATGGACATCTCCCAAGACATGTCTCACTACCAGTGTACATGGACATCTCCCAAGACATGTCTCGCACTACCAGTGTACAAGGACATCTCCCAAGACACGTGTCTCACTACCAGTGTACATGGACATCTCCCAAGACATGTCTCACTACCAGTGTACATGGACATCTCCCAAGACATGTCTCACACTACCAGTGTACAAGGACATCTCCCAAGACACGTGTCTCACTACCAGTGTACATGGACATCTCCCAAGACATGTCTCACACTACCAGTGTACAAGGACATCTCCCAAGACACGTGTCTCACTACCAGTGTACACGGACATCTCCCAAGACATGTCTCACTACCAGTGTACATGGACATCTCCCAAGACATGTCTCACTACCAGTGTACATGGACATCTCCCAAGACATGTCTCACACTACCAGTGTACAAGGACATCTCCCAAGACACGTGTCGCACTACCAGTGTACATGGACATCTCCGAAGACGTGTCTCACTACCAGTGTACATGGACATCTCCCAAGACATGTCTCTCACTACCAGTGTACATGGACATCTCCCAAGACATGTCTCACTACAAGTGCACCAGGTCAGTCCCACCCATAAGTCGCTGCTTTTATTTCATTGTGTTAAGTTATTACCTGCAAAAATAAGCTAGTTGTCTCACATGGTGCACTGTACATGCAACAGGAATTTCAAGCAAGAAATATAGAGGGTGTCATGAAGAATGGAAGAAAATATGACACAGTTTTATGCAATAGCTGATAATTTACTGGATTTACATTTGAATGATATGTGGACATAGAAAACCAAACTTAATTTTTTCAATAAATAGTTTAGTTTCACAATTTTTTACAAAAAAAAACATGAATTAGCAATCAATGGAATTGAGTCGTTCTTACTCCTACATCTTGAGTTCAAAAAGGGGAAAACCACTGTTACATATTTTATGTTAGGGATACTTGTCTGGAAGCCTTTCGGTACCTCTTGATGTTGACCTTCACAGGGATTGCTGCTGCAGTCAAACCTGAAGTGAGCTGGCAGTCAACTAATGCTACGTCCCCTGCAGTGTTCACAACCTTGATTTATTAACTGCTTGTTTTCTGGATGCCTTTATTGTGATGTTCTTGTCATGAAGTAAAACGTGTAAGACCTGCATCACATTAAAGCCTCACCTCTCACATAGAGCTGATTCGCCCTGATACAACTAAAATACAAAGCAACGTTAATCCTCACTTACTCATGCCTCGTGGCAACCCACTGCTTTGCAGCACTTCCCTACATGTTAAGATAACGAGACAAAATCAAGTTGTGTATTATTGGTCCAATGATGTTGCAGTTTAGTTCCTGTCACTGCTAAATGATCTACAGCTGGTTCCTTCATGACTGTTTTCAACAGCAACATTTATTTACACAAGGAATGTGTAAAAATATGTCATTAAATAAAACAAATTTGTCGAAACTATTTGCCATAGAATACAGATCCATATGTAAATAAAATAAGAGGTTTGTTGACTAATGGAGGCCCAATCCATAAATTAATATGGAAGTATGTTAGATAATATCATTGGTTTAAATTGAAAAAGTGGAAAACTAAGGATCTGCTGTCTATAAAGATTGCCACTGAATCTTACATTTGTCAATATGTTCAACATGTTTTTCACGCCTCAGCCACACTCAGAGGTCATTCTTACAAAAGGGAAGATTATTTCATACCTTTTATCAATATTTTAAAAAACGTAAAGTAATGAACTTGTATAAATACGGTAGTACTGACATTGTAAAATTGTATGTATGTTAAAGTATTGAAATTGTGTGAGTGTGAAACTACTGCAGTGTAATGCATTATCATAAGGACTAAAATAAACCCTTCAAAGCTGATGCATTGTTAAAAATCTAAATTAGTAAATATGTGATAGTTTCTCTTTCTCATAGTGTATCTTTGAAATAAAGCAGAAATAAAAATTAGATATATATCTCAATAATGAAGGAATCATAAAACCATTAGTGTTGGTAACAATATGTCTTGTTCTGTATGGTAAACAGAAGGAGTAACTATAAAAATCTCTCAAAACATTTCTAATGTATATGGGGGCGGTCGGGTAGCCTAGTGGTTAAAGCGTTAGCTCGTCACGCCAAAGACCCGGGTTCGATTCCCGACATGGGTACAATGTGTGAAGCCCATTTCTGGTGTCCCCCGATGTGATATTGCTGGAATATTGCTAAAAGTGGCGTAAAACCATACTCACTCACTCACTCACTCTAATGTATATGTTACCGTTATAACGTATATTCAGTTATTTTGTATTATACCTGAAATGTTTAGCGGTTATGTATAATATTGCAGTACGTTTGAACTGAACAGGAGTTGTCGGGTAGCCAGGTGGTTAAAGCGTTTGCTCATCCCACTGAAGACCCGAGTTCGGACTCAATGTGTAAAGCCCATTTCTGGTGTCCCCAACCATGATATTGCTGGCATATTGCTAAAAGCGGCGTAAAACCATACTCACTCACTTGAACTGAACAGAAGAAACTATAAGACACTGAATCCAACTTTGTATCACGATAGATATGCTGCTTTGTAAAAGAGTGTGCTTGGAACAGACTTGATGATGTAGTCCCACTGAGAATACCAGACATGCTGAGCATCCAGAAACATGGAGTCCTTGGTCAGTGTTGACGTGTTCACAAAATCATGGCCGGGGATCATCTGCGTGTGTCGTAGGCCCACTTTCAACACCAGAAATCCAGTCACATATAAATCATCTATCCAAAAGAATCGGATATCACTTGATGCTTGGAATAACTTCATAGCTGCATTGGGCGAGATAAGGTATGCTGCGCCTGAACAGAACACAGGGTACATCATGAACGGGTAATCGTTGTATCCCACGTACCACTTGTCACCGGAGATTCTTTTCGGAAAGGCAAAAGTGTATGACAGACAATACAGAAAGTCGTTCTGGAATCCATATTTGTAAATATATGTGGCTAAATTGAATAAATTCACTAACACATCATCGTCAGTTTTCACAATTAATTTAGCATCTGGGCAATGGGTATTAACCCAGCCTAATGCCATGATGTGCTTATATGTCAAATTTCTGTAAGAGTCTAGAAAATTACCCTGTACAATATCATTGTGGTATCGGGACTCCTGTACTAACAGTCGTTGCATAGAATAGTCCATTGTTTGCCCTACCATGAAGATAGTCACTATGGAATGTTGGTCTATCTGGACAATGCCTGCCCATGTATCACGTGACTTCATCCTGCGAAGCGAATTATCTACGGCTGTGTGGACAATAACAACTATGTCTGCTTTTCTTGACTGGCAGATGTCTGTGTTTAGTGAGTAGGAGAACTGGTGGCGATTGAGCAATGGATCCTTAAGTTTGTTGTCTGACACCGTTATCCATTTGAGCACTTCTTCATCGCTGTAGTTGGTGTTTACCCATACAAACACAAGACACCAAAAAATGGCTGATACTGTCAAAGCTTTGGTCCGGAGCCTAGGTTTGTTCATCACTTTGAGGAAAGCACAGCTAAACATGCTGACAGGTGAACACTACCTCACTGTCAATAGGGATTCATTATCTATACATTATCATAGGAGATATGAGCTGAACACTAGCAATAGGTGAACATTAGTTGAACACAAGCAATAGGTGAACAATAGTTGAACACTAGCAATAGGTGACCATTAGTTGAACACTCGCAATAGGTGAACAATAGTTGAACACTAGCAATAGGTGAACAATAGTTGAACACTAGCAATAGGTGAACAATAGTTGAACACTAGCAATAGGTGAACAATAGTTGAACACTCGCAATAGGTGAACAATAGTTGAACACTAGCAATAGGTGAACATTAGTTGAACACTAGCAATAGGCGAACAATAGTTGAACACTAGCAATAGGTGAACATTAGTTGAACACTCGCAATAGGTGAACATTAGTTGAACACTAGCAATAGGTGAACAATAGTTGAACACTAGCAATAAGTGAACATTATTTGAACACTACCAACGGGTGAACAATAGTTGAACACTACCAGTGGGTGAACATTATTTGAACACTACCAAAAGGTGAACATTATTTGAACACTACCAATAGGGGTTCATCTGAATACTGCCAAATGAGATTCATTAGCTAAACATACCAATAGGGGTACAATATGAAATATACAATTCATTCAATGTATGTAAAAACACAATATTCAAATCTTATTGCCCAAACTTAGATGACCTTTCACGTTTAGTATCATTGTATTTGGTAATTCTCCTTTGGTCTTTGCAGCTAACAAATGTGACGTGTTTGATTATAAGTAGTAAACTGGAAGGTTGAAATGGCATGTAGGATAATGGATTCAGTTGGATAGATATGTTGGCACTTTATTGGTTCCTTGCATAGTCAGATTCAGTAGGATTATTTTCCCAGAATACATTTCCTTCCAACATTGTGAAGTTGGATGCAACTGGTTGTTAAATTAGGCCTGAGGTGTTTCCGTCAGCTCTAAATGGCTCCTGTCTGATGGCCTGCAAACTTTGGTCCTTCGTTGGTATGATGTTGTTGTTATTGTTGTTGATGTTGTTTCATCCTTTGACATGTTCTTCGTTGTTTTGGCACAAGTCGTTGTTTGATTCTTCAACATACTTCTCTTTGTTGTTTGGGAAGAAGTCAGCTCATATCAACTTCAGCCGAGCATCTGAAAAACAGATCCAACTCAGGCAGTTAGAGTCTCTGTGTATTTATTCAACAAGGGGTGGAAATATATATGTTTCTGTGAATAAAAATGTGACAACTTTTACAGTATGCCCAGGGTTTGTGTATACAGCAGTCCAGGAAACTAAAGTCACTAAACCCCCATGAGGATCAATAATTTAATTGCTATAAAATGGGTAACTCCCAAACATCAAAATTTGAATTTGTAGATTTAAGTTGTGAAGTTTGGCAGAAGATGGTTTCAAGTATTAACCTTTAGACTGCTGTCACAGATGTTGCACTTTATGTTACCATGTAATTGCTATAAAATGGGTAACTCCCAAACATCAAAATTTGAATTTGTAGATTTAAGTTGTGAAGTTTGGCAGAAGATGGTTTCAAGTATTAACCTTTAGACTGCTGTCACAGATGTTGCACTTTATGTTACCATGTTTATGACATTAAATATATTTTGCAGATGAGAGATTTCAATATCAGACTTTTTAAATGAAACATCAAATACAACTGAGAAGTATTATCATAATTATTGTAAAAGGGGTAGCGAACTGATTTGGAGGTTATCATTTTTTGTTGCCTCTTTTTTTAAAATTAATTTCTGTTAGACATCGCAGCCATTAACAGCGTCACTTCTCTTGGTAGCCTTCAAAATGGAAATCTACTGAAAGTTTTATTGGTAATTAAATTCAGAGGGGTATTACTTCATGTCTGTGTTTGCTTTTGTTTTGAGTATAAAATGTAGAGTCAATAAGTGTACCTGAGAGAGTGACCAGTCACTCAGTGTTGTCATGGAAACATGTCAGTATGATTACAAACATCAAGAAGTCATCTATAAAAAGTTTGATTGCCTGCATGCTTGTATATTTCACAGAAGTAAAAAAAAGGTGAAAGACCTGCTTCACTTCAGGCTTTATATCCTTGAAGCTGATATACATCCATTCTCCATGAAATGCAGCCAGAAGTTCTTTTTTGCATTGGCTCTAATTTTGTCATATACAGTATACTAAGGTAATAACACACTCGAAAGGACCGCTAATTTTAGTTCCTTATAATCGTAGTTCATTGTAAGCATATATACAGCATATATATTGCAAATAGCCGGGACAAAACACAAGTTTGTGTTAGCCGTCAGTTTGTTATAAATGTGTTCGTTATAAACGTAGTTTACTGTATCTCTGATAAAGTGACATTATCATCCAAAACTGGTTCCCACAGGAGATATGGCTTGGGTGAGATCAAGCGTTTTATTACTTGGCCGTGAAGAGATCACACGTTTAGTAAACATACAGCTGTATTACACATTGTGTAATACCAAAACGTGTGCTTATGTACTCTCGGAACAAGTTTCACGAACAAATATTGAAAGCTCTCGACATCCCTTGGCTTATTCAATGACATTGTTGCTAGACTGACGTCACTGACGTCACATGGCATTGTTTCGCCGATGGATCTTGCAACAAAATTCCACAAATTACGTCATCGGGTATTGTGATGTGATTGTAAACTTTGAGGTGCAAGGCCTCGTTCCACAAGGTGATCGTACTGTAGCGCAAAGACAGTCGTAAGTCTAGGTAAAGTATGTGAGTTGCAATAACCTTAGTGCTATGATAATTTTGTGGAACGGACGACTGAATTCTAAAGGTGGACCGTTGTATGGTATTAAATTCATACGTTTCATCTTTTGATGTGTTTGAAGTATTATTCAGTTAAACTCAATTGGATTATGCCGTGGGTCGGGCCTATTCACACTCAACAGTATAATTTTAAAAATGTTATAAATGGCAAGTAATAAATATAATACTAAACTCACTCCCGTGTAAAACCAATTTTATGAAACTTGTGAATAGTTGTGGTTTCTGACTCGTGAAAGCGAGGCAGAAACCACAACCATTCACGACTTTCATAAAATTGGTATTACACAGGAGCTTGTTTAGTATTCTATATATCTTCATTGTAGATATCACAATGCTTTGCAGACCATTGTTATATCATTGGTTACAATGACATCACAGTCAAATGACATCACTAATGGCTCTGCGACTGAAGATGTTAGAATGTACTTTTTACACTTAAGACACTAGTTATTACTGTCTACAAACTGAAAAAGTTGGAAGAATGATGTTGGATGATAAATAAAATCTCACCCTGATGTCTTTTGATATAAAATATAATATATAAAAAATAATGTTTTCTTGTTAGGTTTGATGTTTAAAAGTCACAAAACTGCTCACGGTACTGGTAGAGGGAATTATTTATGTGTTGGTAATTGCAAGGTGTTGTATTTATCAATATGTAAGGTGGACATCACATATTAAAAGAGTGCAATCAAGCCAACTGGGCAAGTGTTACATGTGTGCAAACATAATATGACATTTTCGGTTCATTACTTCAAAACATTTCACGGGGCGGTCGGGTAGCCTAGTGGTTAAAACGTTCGCTCGTCACGCAAAAGACCCGGGTTTGATTCCCGACATGGGTACAATGTGTGAAGCCCATTTCTGGTGTCCCCCGCCGTGATATTGCTGGAATATTGCTAAAAGCGGTGTAAAACCATACTCACTCACTCACTCAAAACATTTCACAGAAAATGTAAATGAATATGAAATTGAAACAGAAAGGTTACCAAAGTTAATTACAATTTCTGCTTCATGGACTGATTTCAATTTTCCTAAGCATAAAACTTTATGAGTGAACACCATGGCGGTCTGTTTGATGATCTGAAACTACTTCTTACATGAAACCAGCCTTTAAGCCTTTTCGGGAGATTGGGACAAATATGTTACAGATAGATACATTACTAGTTTACATAGAATGGATATTTCTGAAAAGCGAATTTTAAAACCTCTGGTAAATGAACAATACCAAATATGAGAAAAGGAAAACCACATTTTCATTTCTATTCCCAACGTCACGTCACAGGTCGACATCAAGTTCATTTGAAAAATAGGTAAGTTTACATTTACTGCAATATGTCATATAGCTGATACCTATTTCATGAAATGCTTATATAGCAGGATGCTTGGATTATGTATGGATTGCACAGTTTGTTCATACATTGTTCATACTGATCCAAATGGTAAATAGCAGTGTTACGGAATCAGTTTGAAAGGCTGCGTGTCTGTTTTTGTGTAACATGTACATGTCGTTCATAATAATGAAGTATGTGCCGATTTTTTCATATTGTATAAATTATAAAGTGTCTCTGTTTACTTGGAAAGAGTTTAGTTCAGATTAGATTAGAAGTGACACCCATGGCAAACACATGGTAACGTACCTGTTTTCATTTGTAACATATCTGTTTTCATTTGTAACGTATCTGTTTTCATTTGTAACATATCTGTTTTCATTTGTAACATATCTGTTTACATTTGTAACGTATCTGTTTTCATTTGTAACATATCTGTTTTCATTTGAAACATATCTGTTTTTATTTGTAACATATCTGTTCTCTTCTTTTTAGCATCCCAACGTCAATGGGAGCATTCATTGTCATATTATCTGTTGTCTATCATTCACCCAAATAATGTAATTTGAGCAAAATACTTTGTCACTATCAACTTATTTCTGGTTGCAAGTTATTGCTAAAAGTTGTGCCGAAATACAGCAAGATTACACGGAGAGCTAACTAACTATTTATATGATAATGGAATGAAATTTAGAAAAATATTAAATTCTGTAAACTAGATACCTTAAATGAACAAAAAAAAACACAGCTGCAAAATAAGAGATTTCTTGAAGAAGACTATTTTTGTCTCTGTGAACAACGAATCAGTAACCAAGAAGTTTTGAGGGAGATATTTGGCATAAATTTGATATTTGGAAACAAAAATATCTCTTGGGGGAAAATTGTGTATTTGTCAATGTTGAGAACCAAAGCCAATGATGATAGTGCTACACCTTGTCTTAAATCATGAGTCAACAACAATGACTGTAGTTCAAAACATGGTGTCTTTACTAAATCCTCAGTCACAACCGACCCCTCAGGCTAACTGGCATTCCCAAGACAGCATTAGTTGGTTGGTTTGTTGTTTTACGCCACACTCAGCAATATTCAGCTATATGACGGCAGTCTGTAAATAATCGAGTCTGAACCAGACAATCCAGTGATTGACATCATGAGCATCGATCCACACCAATGGGATCGATGACTTACATCAACCAAGTCAGTGAGCCTGACCACCTGATCCCGTTAGTCACCTCTTACGACAAGCATAGTCGCCTTTTACGGCAAGCAAGGGTTGCTGAAGACCAATTCTACCCCGGATCTTACAGGTCCAAGACAACATTTAAAACACATGAACATGACATCTTAATCAAGAAGAACATATTATACATACCGTAACTAAGCAAACATGATCAAACATTCTAAAATGTGTGCGATGGAAAAAACTGTCTGTTTACAAAGGGGCATAACACTAATGATATAGTAACCTCATAACACTAATGATATAGTAACCTCATACCACTAATGATATAGTAACCTCATAACACTAATGATATAGTAACCTCATAACACTAATGATATAGTAACCTCATAACACTAATGATATAGTAACCTCATAACACTAGGTTTTGGAGCTAATGCCCAGTGACACACGTTGGCGTGGTGTGATATGGTGGGGAAACTATCACACCCATCTCAAACAGCTTCAGTCTGATGTATCATGTCAGATACAGCCACTCTCTTTATTCATGAATTCATTGAATGAGTCACAAAATACAGTGGAAATATGATGTAATCAATACACGTGATATTTGGCGATTAGGCAAGACCAATTTGGTTTTCTTTGTTACCGATTTTGTGGTCTAAATGACAGTTAGCAGGAGGCAGTATAAAAAAAATCTCATAGTTGATTTGAGATTAATTTCAAACCTTTAAAGATTTCAAGGTAAACATTTCAACAGAACTGCAAGCAAAAAGACATTTTGAATCTATTCTGGATTCTGGATTAGATTATGGATAATCTGGAACCAGAAAATTATTTTGATTGGTTCTTTTTCTCAATATCAAACATTTAAACAGGAGCCTCATGTGGTTTCCTGGTTGCATCTGGTACCCAGGAACTGGTGCTAGTCAAGAGAGTTTAGCTAATAGACCAGTTGGTCAGGCACATTGACGTGGTTGATAGTGCAACCCGCATGTACCCCAGTGATGTGGAATATTGCTCTTAGTATCAATCACCGGATAGTCCAGACTTGATTATTTACCGGCCATCACCATATAACTGTAATATTACTGAGTGAGGCATTAAAACAACAAACAAAACAAATGCAAGTAGGTAAATAACATCTTGGCCATGGCAGTATGGTAACCATGTCCAGACCAGACAATATATTTCTTTTTAAAAAAATTGTCTTGATTGAGTTGAGGTCAATTGCAATGGAATATATTTAAAACTGATAACAATAATTTACTTTTTAAATGCCTGTAGATTATCAAGGCATTTGTCTTATGTAATCTGGAAAAAAAACTTTAAAAAAAAATATGCTAACATACATTCTTTGCAAAAAGAAATAATTTGTCTTGCCCGATAACAGAACATTCCTCCTATTTCTAAATACCTCCAATAACTCAGAAGTAGAAAATTGTTATCATACTCACCAGTTTTTCTTCCATTAAGTATTAGCCAAGTTGTTTTCTAATCAGTAACAGTTCGCGATAATCACACAAGGTTTATCTCTTAATTGTAACCATGTAAGTCGTCCGTCCTACCTTGAGATCCACTGTCTCCTCTCGTCTCTGGCAACAGGGTCATGTAGCTCGGGAGCTATGTGCATTATCACCTCCACATCTGAAAACAAGGAAGTCCGAACCCTGCATCTCATCTCTGCACCGATCAAACAAAACAGACACGTATCAAGCACATGCCAGACAAGCCGTCTATCCAGATGCAGACCGTCACATGACTGCAGACCAGCTTATTCCTACATGTCCATCTAATAATGTGCCAAATTAATCAGATCTTCAGTCACAGTGACACACAGACAGACATTATGTTTTTCTGCCTCCTTACAGTTTTTTTTCAGACAAGTTTTTTATTTTATTAATATTCCAGAAATGATTCATAACACATCCTTTTTCCTTCGCTTGTTTTCCTCATCAGTTCAAATATGTTAACATGATCTATCTAAACAATAGCTTGAAGGATAAAAATAGATTTTGGTGCATGAATAAGCTAGTTATTAATGTTTTAGTGTATAATAAAATATGCAGTGTCTGTATTTTTTGTTTTGAAAAGTTTTGTTCTTGTTGTTTGTTTGTTTGTTGTTTAACGCCGCACTTAGCAACATTCCAACTATAGAACTTCGGTCTGTAAATGATCGAGTCTGGACCAGACAATACAGTGATCGACATCATGAACATCAATCAACGCAATTGGGATCGATGACATGCATCAACCAAGTCAGCCAGCCTGACCACCCGATCCCGTTGTTCATGTTGATCTTGGCAGTTGCGCAGCCTAGAGGATGTTGAGACAGACAGAATTTATTCTGTACTTTAGGGCCTAGGCCCATAGCAAACAAGATGGAAAATATGATTAAATGTAATGCTGAATCAACCGCTGGCATACAATACACTTTATGTTACAGCGATAGATGTTTTGATTCTAATATTAATACTTGACAAACGAATTTAATCAAACATTTAATATTATGGATATTGTCGGTTGACATAACCTAATGGTTGAAGTGTTCACTCATTGAGATCGATTCTCCTCGTGGGTACAACGTCTGATGTTTGTTTGTTTGTTGTTTAACCCCACACTCAGCAATATTCCAGCTTTATGACGGCAGTCTGTAAATAATCGAGTCTGGACCAGACATTCCAGTGATTAACATCATGATCATTGATCTACACAATTGGGCTACGATGCCATGCATCAACCAAGTCAGGGAGCCTGACCACCCGTTCCCCTTAGTCGCCTCTTACAACAAGCATGGGTAACTTAAGACCTATTCTACCCCAGATCTTCACGGGGCTACTATGTGTGAAGCCAGCTTGTGTCCCCCTGCCATCATGTGGCTGTTATAGTGCTGAGAGTGACTTCAACATCTAGTCACTACTCACCGTGAAAAAATACTTGGTTAATTGTGTACCATCGTACCCTGACAGCATGGGGCGTTGCTCATTATCAATCACTAGATTGTCTGGTCCAAACTTGATATTTTTCGAAATGTCATTATAGAGCTGGATATTTTTTAAAGCAATGTTAATTTACAGTAAAAAATTTTTGGATATCAACGACTTTGTCGTCTTGTATTTTTTAAAAAGATAGCTATATTTGTTTTGTTTCCCATCTCTCAAAGATATTTGTGGGGTAAAAATCTGCAAATTGAGTAGCTAAGTTGGCTGGCCTTCTTATAATATTGTCCAGGGTAAATGAAATTTTTAGGCAGAAAACAATTTATTTCTCACTCTAAAGCCATTACACATTTTACCGTATTTCCTTGATTAAACGCCAGGCCTCAATTAAGTGTTGGGTAATTTTTATGCACTGAATCATCCCCATTATCATCTTTGCGGTTAAACACCAGTGGAAAGTTAGTCTGAAAGAAATATACACCGGGCATTTATTCGAGGAAATATGGTATATAATTTCATTCCCTTGCTACCGTGACTGTGTGATATTATGCAAGCCATCCATAACAGCTTATGTCAGTTCAAAACTTGGCCTGTTGCCTCACTTGAGAAATCATTAGTTTGCTTGTAACATACGAAGTGATACAGCGAGTCCCAAGGGTGCTGGTGAAATGATGGAGGGTTCTGATGGTGTAGGGCGGTCGGGTAGCCTAGTGGTTAAAGCGTTCGCTCGTCACGCCGAAGACCAGGGTTCGATTCCCGACATGGGTACAATGTGTGAAGCCCATTTCTGGTGTCCCCCTCCGTGATATTGCCGGAATATTGCTAAAAGCGGCGTAAAACCATTCTCACTCACTCACTCTGATGGTGTACCAGAGACTTGATCCAGTCCTATGGGTGTATAATAGCATGTATACCCTGGCTGTGGCAGAGCCTCAGATGTGCAACATGTACTCAGATGTTCCTATTCTCTCTCTGTTGTAATCATTTATGATAGCAGAGCTCCAGAAAAACTGTGTATTTTCATAAAATATAAAAATATGTCACCATTATCCAATTATTTTTGTGTTGCTTGCAATATAAATAGTTAATACTCTTAAAAAAATTCAAAAACCCAATTGTGGAACAATATTGTGCATAATTATCCAGAGTAGCACTTTCAGCTTTCACACCTGTACATTCTTTCCATGTTGGATAAAAGACATCAGAAGGTTTTTAGGAGGTTTAAAACCTGAATCCAAGGGATAAAACTGAGGGGCTAAAGTGTTTTATCTAACTTATAAACCGAAAAAAGAAACTTAAAACATTTGTCAACATTTTTATGCAATCTCATTAAAATCAGATCTTAGTTCTCGCTACTGCCAAACAAAGATCTGAGGACATGCCATTAGGGGTCATGTCAGAACGACCTTTCATCATGATCATCACCAGATCATGAAAGTGACATTCGGAATGTGAATTCTGATAATGCAACCTCGAAAACTTTAACACGGGGTATTCCGAACGATAGTTACGGGTTTAACGACTGAATCCATACAATGTAGAACATCTATTAGCCATTCCAGAATGTTCTTTTGTTCGGGTTTCAAATTTTCAATTGAGAATTTGTCAAAATATGTTTTGAAGCGTAGTGGCCAATTTCAAATTAGTGCCGTAAACCACGAGAAAGCTGTCTTCTGATTAGTCATTCCACTGGTCGGTCAAAGTTCGCGCAAGGTCGTTCTGAGGTGACCCGTAATGGGATGTCCTCAGATCTTTGTTTTGCGGTAGCGAGAACTAAGATCTGATTTTAATGAGATTGAATGGCACCTTCAAGTCAAGGCTATCTGATCGATAATCAAGTTCAATATTGTAATAAAACGGGTCTTACTTTTCGGAGACTATCAAATCATGTGAGCACCTTGATTAAAAACATGAAAAGATTTGGAAAATTGCTCCTGACGGCATGTTTTAATGAGATTGTATTTTTATGTTTTGAACATACTTTCCATTAAACTTAGGAAACGGGAGTACAGTATCTGTTGCTGGCGTATGGTACTAGAAAAAGACATTCTTAAAAGCATTGTGATTTATCAGCGCCTCTGTAGCCTAGTCGTACACTCACTGGGCTTCAGATACGAAGGTTGCGTGTTGGATCCTTGGGAATATAAAGAAAACATTTGTCATTTGATTTTACATTTCATTACATTGTATTCAAATGCAAAATATATTTCTATCAAGAAACATTCATATGTTACAATATAAATAGAAGTTATATAAATAAAATTCTGTGGATTTTATGACCAGTTTGAACTTGGAAAATGTTAAGAAAATCAGTCCTTCTAACAAGTTGGAACATGTCGGAAAAACAACAACATAATGAATGATGTACTGGTTACATTTGTTACTGACTCATGAAAAGATCACTGGTTTAATAACAATACACCTTTATAAACAGTGTTTAATAACATCTCATGCGGATGGGACTACTTTTGGTCATGAGCTAGTCAGAAGAAGAGATGCAAATGTATACCATGTCTACTTTGCTCCCAGCCGGATTGTACCACCGAGTGGCTTCATTCTTATCACGATATGCTGCACGTGATTTCCAACTTTATACGCTAATCGTATGTTCGAACCAATCTAATATCTCTTGAAAATGAGTCTTAGTAAATTAACCACCATGTATGGTATTCGCGTTTCTTTTGGTGGTGAGTATAATAGCATTCTGTGTAGTACACCCATAGGAGTAATCAATACCCGAGTAGGTCCGGGGTAGAATAGGTCTCTAGCAATCCATGCTTGCTGTAAAAGGCGACTAAGCTTGTCGTAAAAGCCGACTAACTGGATCGGGTGGTTAGGCTCGCTGACTTGGTTGATGCATGTCATCGTATCCCAAATGCGTGGATTGATGGTCACGATGTCAATCACTGGATTGTCTGGTTCAGACTCGATTATTTACAGACCGCCGTCATATAGTGGGAATATTGCTGACTGCGGCCTTAAACAACAAACAAACAAAGGAGTAATCAAACCTGGCCTCATAAATCAGCCACACAAACCAATTTACTAGCTCACTGCTCTGCTTGAAGTATCATTTGAAAACTGAGCAAAATGAAGAGCTGAATTTATTGTTGTATTGTTTTCCCTACAGTAAAACTTGCTATTATTAACATTTGAAGAAAATCCTCTTATGGACAATTTGAAAGCATAAGCTCATTAGCCAATGCTGACAAATAAAACATGACTCCCATTTTTAGGAGTAAATTGCCCAGCCTGACCCTCATTGTGTCTTTGTTGTCTACTCAGCAATATTCCAGCTATATGACGGCACTCTGTAACTAATTGAGTCCAGGTATTGACATCATGACATCCATGCAATTGGGATACAATGACATGCATCAACCAAGTCAGAGAGCCTAACCACCTGATCCCGTTAGTCCGCTCTTACGACAAGCATAGTTGCCTGTTATGGCAAGTATGGTTTGCTGAAGACCTATTCTACCTCAGATCTTCACGGATTTGTTGTCTACTGCACACAGCAGTATTACAGCTATATGACAGTGGCCTGTAAATAATAGAGTCTGGACCAGACAATCCAGTGATTGATATTGAGAGCATTGATCAATGAACCACGTCACTGCAACTGATCCCCTGGTCCTTTCAGTCGCATCTTACCACTAGCATAGCTTGCTGGGGACCTGTTCTTACATGGAATCCCCACGGGTCAAC